CGGATGCTGGCGCTGCCTCGCGGGCCCTCCGGATGGAGCCGCATCGCAGGGAGATGGGCGTGGGGCGCTGGGGTGAGAGCAGAGGGTCCGGGTTCATAAACTCCGGCTCGAGCCGGAGAACCACCTCCTATGGACAAAAATGGGCCTTTTTTCTTCTCGCTGCGGTGCTGGCGAGGGAGGAGTCCCCGGGGTGTGCACTGACCTCGTCTGAACGCGGTTACCACGACCAGGCGCCCTAGGACCCTCTGGGGCAGGAGGATAATAAAGCAAAGTGTCTTGATTGCCCCTGGTGCTGCCGCTCTTTGCTTCTATCTGGTTTTGATCCCAGCTCCCTATCCCGAATTTAGGCAAATGGCAGGTGCTAGAGATCGATTTAATGGGGGAAGGGTCTGGAAACAGCCAAAGGCGGAAGCCGTTGTCCCGCTCTCCACGTTTTTAAATTACCTTTGAGTCTTAGTAGGAGCCAGGCACTGTCACTGCCCTCCAGTTCATAGTGTAGGGATAAACATCATCCTCAGATCGTCATCTGCATAATAAAAGCAGCCCCCGTGTATTGATGCTTCCTGCACGTCCCGCAGGAGACTAGTACCACCAGTTACCAGACCTGTGTTAGTTCCTTGAACCCTCGCAGCATCCCTTGGAGACCGATGGGGTTATCCCTGTTTTACAGATGATTCTGAGGCCTGGCGATGGTGAGTGAATTGCCAAGAGCTCACAGCTAGTATGAGCCTAAGAAACCTTCCCCGTCATTGCCGCCGTAAGAAGTGTATGTCGCCCTAACCCAGTGGTTCTCAACCTTCCTAATGCCGCGACCCTTTAATACAGTTCCTCATGTTGTGGTGACCTCCATCCATAAAATTATTTTCGTTGCTACTTCATAACTGTAATGTTGCTACTGTTAAGAGTCGTAATGTAAATATCTGATATGCAGGATGTATTTTCATTGTTCTCGACCCACAGGTTGGGTCTAACCGGTTTGGCTCAGTGGATAGAGCGTTGGCCTGCGGACTGAAGGGTCCCAGGTTCGATTCCGGTCAAGGGCATGTACCTTGGTTTCGGGCACATCCCCAGGAGGGGGTGTGCAGGAGGCAGCTGATCGATGCTTCTCTCTCATCCATGTTTCTAACTCCCCTTCCTCTCTGTAAAAAAATCAATAAAACTATATTTAAAAAAAAGAAAAAGAAGTGTATGCCTTGGGAGGGTTGGCGGGCAAACAACCAGCTAGAATCTGAAAACAAAGCCAGATCTGCCGTTTCTGGCAGAGCACTGGTGAGGAGCAGCTAGCCTGGCCATGCGTCTGGGGTTCGCAGAGGCTTACTTGGAGAAGGGTCCTGGTATAAATGCAGAAGAGGAGGCATGTCTGAACTTGAGGCAGCTGGCAGACCACTAGCTCCAGTTGGCCAGTAATGCCTGATGGCCACGTGTGGGGCCAAAGAAGTGTGGCTGGAGTGGCCTTGTAGTCAAGGCTCCCTTAAAATAAAACCCTGCTGACAGAGATAATTGTGTTGTCAGAGAGGAAGTGCCCTCTTGCTTAATCACATAGGATACGGATGCTCACTTTTTGAATGGGTTGCCTTTGCAATTTAGAGGTTCCACGTTCTTCGAAAATACAGTCATCCATGAAACTACCGTTCTCCAAAGTCCATTCTGCCTTACTAGCCTTTTTTCTGGTTTACATTATTGTTTGAGCTTATTACCCTAATATTTATTTATTCACTACTTTTTTATCAAGTGCTACTGTGTTGCCTACACTGTTCTGTGTCATGGGGATTCAGCCGTGAGCAAGACTCGGAAAGTACCTGTGCTTATGGAGCTTACGATTTGGTGGAGGAAGACAGACAAAAGCCAAGGAAATAAACAAGATAATTTCAGATAGTGGTAAGTGCTATGAAAATTGGAAAGCAGCAGTGTAATGTGGCAGTGACGGACACAGGGCTAATTTAAAGGGACAGCCTTTTAAAGGTGGAGCCCTACAAGCTGAGACTGAAGGATAAGAAGGATCCAGTCAGGCTCTTCTGGGATCATTTGGTGATTTCCATAATCGTATTAGCACTTGTATTAGGATATTTTATGCATTATCATATGCCATAAGTTACACTGTTATAATAATAAATTACTGTACATCTGCAATCTGTATGACATGCATGTACTGTTTAAGGGATATGGATTTAATTTTCTGAAACAGTGAGGCATATCTATATGACGTTGTTGAAAGAAAAATAAAACTATTGCCATAAAACCATTTTATTTCCTTAAATTTCCCAGACCTTTAAAATGGAATTTCATGCTTTGCGTGTGTATTCATAGGAAATATGTTACATTGATTATATAAGTAATCTATTTATGTTCCCTGTAATGCTGGATGCATTACATACTTTGAAGTATTTTGGTAGAAATGGGGTTATTTGAATTTCTCTTACATCTTAGCTTCTGCATATTTGGTTGTTAAGATATCATAATATGGGTTGAAATTTAGACTAAAAATTGAGGTATTATTATGGTTATCATGCAGTAAGGTGTTGGTTTTGTTTTTTACTTTTGCTTGTTTTATGAATATAAGTTTGAAAAATAACCTCATTCAACTCAAGAGAACCATTTCTCTGAAATTAAACTCTCACTTTGCATAAGTTGAATATAGAAACAAGTAGAATTGATGGGATCATAGGAAGAAGTTATTAAGACTACCAGTTGGTCAAACGTAGCAACATATCTTATTTTTTATCATCTAATCCTAATTTTGAATATGCCTTTTCTTCATTTCTAATTGTGCTATATTTTGTCCCTGACACTTTAGTGTACTGAATTTTTAAGTACCTTGAGACTTAGGACAGTATCATATTTTATCTTATTTCATCTTTGTATATCCTACATCATGAATTGAATTTCCTTACCCTCTTTCTTTTTTTGTTAATTAATTAATTGCTTTAAAATGAACACTTAAAGGAACATTATTGTATTGGTTTTTCTGTTTTCATAGTTCATTCCCTTGTTGGTTATGAGCCTCATGATGTCTCTTTTTTCATTTGTCCTTGTTTATTTAAAGGAAACAATGTTAGACATAATGCTATGGAAACAGGCAATCAAATATTTAACGCTTGCTTGATGAATGAATATGGTGGCTAATCCTTCCTGGTTACCTTGTATTTTCATGGCCACCATAACAATTTCCAGAAATTGTGAAGTTACTGGGCTGATTATTTTAAGTAGTTTGGCAATGGTTCCAATTTTCAATAATAGAATTATTACGAGAGTCAATAGGTTTTCTGTTTTCTACTGCTGACTGACTTGGCTAGTAATGATGGAGTTATAATATATTTTTAAAATATGCAAGTAATAGACTTTGAACTCCATGATAGAAAAAGAATTTTTAAAAGAGGTAACTTTTTAAATTTAAATAGCCATTCTGTCTTTCTGGGTACCTTTGTATACTTTAGTTTTTCTTGTGCTGTGTAGCTAAGTCCTGCTAAAGAAAATATATTCTATTTTATAGTCTAAAGTTAGTAAAGTGGTAGAGAACTTTGTGTCCTTCAAGTAGGTTTCACTGCTAAGTTCTTAATACTTCTCTAAACTAATCACATTTAAAGATTGATTTGCATGCAAATGTTCAGAAATATTTACTACGTAATGTAAGCCTTAACTGGGTAGGATCTTGAGCCACTTACCTATACTTAAGAATTTGCTCCTGATCAGTGAAAAATTTTTTGGGAAGGCCAGTTCTAGGAATTGTGAATTCTAGGAATATTTTAGTGCTCCAAAAAATTTGCCAAATAATTAAGGTCTATTTTTCTCAGCACATTAAAAATGACATTTTTCTCTTTTTGCAGTGTGGTTGTGGGAAGATGGAGGAATATGAGAAGTTCTGTGAGAAAAGTCTTGCCAGAATCCAAGAGGCATCACTATCCACAGAGAGCTTTCTACCTGTTCAGTCTGAAAGCATTTCACTTATTCGCTTCCATGGAGTGGCTGTGCTTTCTCCACTGGTAAACATTCTTTGATTTTAGATAACCTTTTTTCTATAGTGAACCATTAAGGCACTTCACAGGAAAAATAAAAGAAAGGTTTATAAACATCAAAAAGATGCCTAATTTATTTATAACTAAAGAAATACAAATGAATTAGCTTTTTTTTTGCCTATTATATTGGCAAAGATCTGATTAGGACCTAATGTTCCTTCGGTTGTGGTGAAAGCACTTTTGCTGAGAGAATCAGTTGATTTTATTTTTTGGTGAGCAATTTGGTAGTGTTTATCAGAATTTAAAAGTGTACATAACCTTTGACTCAGCAATTCCATTTTGGGAATATTTTGCAATTATGTTCTCATCTAAGTGTCCAAAGAAATATTCATAAGGTTATGGTAGCATTCTTTAAAATAGCAAAAGACTGATGAACAACCTGTGGACTAGTTTAACTATGATTCATCTTATAGAATTTTTAAAAGAGGTAACTTTTATTGGGATTTTATATAAGAGAATATCCTTATATATTCTAAGATTCTTATAGAATCTCATACATGCCATTAAAATGAGCACAGCCATCAGTAGTGGACTAGTTTAACTATGATTCATCTTATAGAATCTCATACATGCCATTAAAATGAGCACAGTAGACCTAAATGTGTGGACATTTAAAAATTCTATAAGATGAATCATAGTTAAACTAGTCCACAGGTTGGTATATATATTCCATGGAAGGATCTCCATGAGCTACCGTAAATCACTGCACACAGCCTGCTCTTGGAGACAGTGTGGAATAGTGGTTTAAAGTCCTCCTGTGGTGCCTTCTGGCCTGGGTTCAAATCATTGCTCTGCCACTTACCTGATTTGTGAACTTGCAGGTCCATTTTCTTTATTTGTTAAATTAGGATAAAAATAATGCCTACCTCATAGGGCTGTTTTGAGGATTAAATGAACTAATACATTTAAAATGCTCAGAACAGTATTTAGATCATAGAAGGAACTTAATATATGTTAACTGTTTGGATTTTTAAATAAGGCTATTGTATTCTTTCTCTGGAGAGGGGTAAGGAAATATAAGATGAGAGGGAAGACACATTTTTCATCATAAACCCTTTAAATGTATGTGATTTTATGTCAAAATTAGTATGATTGAAAGAGTTCAATTTTTTTTGTGTGTATAACTAGTTAAAAGATCAGTATTTTCTGCCAACTTTTTGTAATGAAATTTTCAAACATACAGGAAAGTTGAAAGGATAATACAACGACTACCCATATATCACTAGTTAGATTCAGCATTTTAACATTTTTGCCATCATTGCTTTATCGTGTGTATGATCTTATATATGTATGTATGTGTATATTTACCTACTCTTTTTGTCTTATTGCTGAACCATTTGAAAATTGCAGATATATAACACTTCTCCCCTAAATACAGAGTGGGGCAAAAGTAGGTTTACAGTTGTTTGTATGGAAAATAATATAATAATTAATAAATAACAAAAGGAATAAACTCTGTTTCACGTACTCATAATTGTAAACCTACTTTTGTCCCAACTGTTATTTTGGTATATATATTCTAAGAATAAGGATATTCTCTTATATAAAATCCCAATACCATTATCATACCTTAAGACAATAATAATTTTAAAAGCATCTAATATTCTTTTCATATTCAGATTTCCCAATTTGCGCTCAAAATGTCTTTTATAACTTTTTAAAATCTGAATCCAGTCAAAATTCACAAATAACATTTGCTTGTTACAATTTTTAATCTCTTGATCTGGAACAGTTCCTCTTAAAAAAAAAATTAATAGTGAATTTTTAAAGAGACCAGAGCAGTTATCTTGTAGAATACCTTACATTTTGGATTTGTGTAGTTGTTTCCTTCATGGTGATGTTTAACTTGCCCTCTAGTCACTATAGTTCCTATAAACTGGAAATTAAGTCTAAAAGTTTGATTAGAGTAGGTTAAACGTTTTGGGTAAGAATTGTTTGGAGATGATGCCATGTATTTCGTAGTAAATTAAATCAGAAGTTACAAAATATCTAGTTCCTCTAGTTTGATGTTCAGTTTGAATACTTGTTTTTATAGTGGTGCCTATCAGATGATTCTTTAAAGGTATCTTCTTTCTCCTTTTTTATTAGCAAGTAAATGGAATGATTTTATTAGCAAGGGTGGAATGATTCTTTGATACCATGCAAATAGGAAAAATTTTATAACATTTTTATCAGCTACTTGATGACATAGTGCTTGATCAGTTTAATATGGACCAAAATGTCTACACCTTAACAGCTTAGGATCTATGACTCCATCAGTTACTTATTTATAAGCAAAATCTGATATTTATGGATATTAATCCATGTTTTTGTTTTTAATCCATGTTTTTATGTTATACTAGAAGCCCTATGCACGATCATTCGTGCAAGCGTAGGCCTTCCTTTCCCTCACTGCCGGCACCAGCTTCCCTCCTTCGGCCGCCACTAGCTGGCACCTGGGACCCGAGGTGGCTTCCCCCGGGCTGGCTTCCCCCAGGCTGCCCACAGGCACCCGGGACCCAGCTGGCTTCCCTCCGGCCCCAACTTCATCAGGAAGGACATCCAGAATGACATCGGGAAGACATCCGGTCTAATTAGCATATTACCCTTTTGTTATTATAGATTTGATGGATGAATATTGCAACTTTGGAAAAATTTTTTTTTTTAATATATTGAATTATTTTGTATTTTCTTTTTTTTAAATATATTTTATTGATTTTTTACAGAGAGGAAGGGAGAGAGATAGAGAGTTAGAAACATCGATGAGAGAGAAATATCGATCAGCTGCCTCCTGCACATCTCCTACTGGGGATGTGCCCGCAACCCAGGTACATGCCCTTGACCGGAATCGAACCTGGGACCCTTCAGTCCGCAGGCCGACGCTCTATCCACTGAGCCAAACCGGTTTCAGCTGGAAAAATTTTTATAACATGTTTTTCATTTGCATAAGTCTAAAATAAGTCTTAACTCCTTAACACAGTGACTGAATTTCCCAGAACTTAATAATTAAGATTTAAACCCACTGTAAAAAGATTTAATGCATAGAAGCCTTCAGTTTTTTAGGTACATTATATTTTTAGTGGAGGTTACAATGAAGTAGAACCAAATCTGTGTACTGATTTTGTAGGCAAATAAAATATCATCTATTTCTTTATCATTAACCCTTTGGATATTTTCTTGAGGTAGAAAAGAGTTAAAATGTATTTTTTTTTAGAATATTAGAATCTAACTGATCCATTGAAGTAAGGTATTGCCAAGTGAAAAGATCAGCAGTGGCCAAAAGGGCTGATTTTATAACTCATTTTAGAGTATTTGAGAAGGTGTGTTTTTTCCTTTTAACTTTTTTTTTAGTTGAGAATAATTTACATACAGTAAAATGCACAAATCTTAAGTATTTAAGTTCCTTGGATTTTAATATATGTGTACACTTGTATAACTCACACCCACACAGAACATTTTCATCACCACTGATCCCTGTCAATTAACCTGAACCATTTCAGATTTCTTTCTCTATAGTTTTAATCACTCTGATTCAAAACTTACTGGTTTTATGCTATTTGTATATTTATGAGAAATCCTTATTTATTATGTTTTGTAGCTTAATATTGAGAAAAGAAAGGAAATGCAACAAGAAAAACAAAAAGCACTTGATGTAGAAGCAAGAAAGCAGGTTAATAGGAAGAAAGCTTTACTGACTCGTGTCCAGGAGATTCTTGAAAATGTTCAGGTGTGTAATTTAAACTCTATTCAGTTATAATTAAGAAATCATGAGCTAAGAATTGAAGATAATTTTTCATATATATGTTTGCATTTAATAGTTAATTACCAATATACTTTACTGTTCTGTTTGAGAAGTTTCATAATTTGTGATATTCCATTTCAGTTATTCCAAAGAAAATTCACTTGCTTGTTAGTGATGACCAGTACTTGAGTCAGAGGGTACAAATACAATGGAGTCATACATTGGATATAATTGCTTCTTGTATGTGTCCTATGACTCTAAAAACATGGAATTCTCAGTGACAAAATGATAGAATTGTCCATTGTACTTTACCTCTGAATTAATCAAACTATTGACTCAATTATCTTATTCTCATTCTTCGTTAAAATAAATAACTGCCCCCAATTTTGGGGGTAAAAATTCTGCTCTTAGATACACAAATGCAATTTATATTAGATAATTAGAATTAATTGCCTAGATGCATCTTAGGTCCATATTAAAACCATTCAAACAACTGATCCATACTTTTTGTAATTATTTTTATTTAGTTTAATATAAATTTGTTTAAACAATTTGTTTTAAGGTCTGGATCATTTTATACTAAAAGAAAATAAATGAATTTGATTAAACAAATAATTTCTGCCATATAGAGCACTGTTTTGCTGGTTACATTTTTTTCCCCCATATTAAGGATTTGTGGTTTGTGTAATTTATACTAAATGAATGTACAATGAATTTTAGAATATTTCCCATTAACAGCTAGCTACTTTCATTTCTCTGTGGGTAGTAGATTTTAATTTGCAGATTATAATTACTTCATGTATTAAGTTTAAAATATATAATGTGTAGCACAATAAGGTTGGGTTTTTTAATTTGATATTTTTTATTATTGAAATAAAAATGGTCTATCATTCTTGGTCCATTGAGGGAATATATCATATATATTACTAAAGAGATTATTGTTGAGTCTGAAAACTTTCTATGTTTAATAGAGCATGTACCATGTTGAACTGTAATGAATTATGCAGGTAGAGACATTTTATATATTAAAAATAGATTTCCAAGATCTGTCTCATCTTTAAAACTTATGATTCTATCATAAATTTTTTTGTTATTTAAATCATGTAACCAAAGGCTCATGTTAGGTGTATACGAAAAACATTGAACATATGAATATGTCCATAGACTTCATGAATATGTAGTTCTTTTGTTTTATTTTGGTCCTGAGTACACCTTGTTGTACTGCTTATTGCATAGTACATACCTGGAAACCATTATACTAGTATGTCTTGGGATTTGTACAGTCAAACAGGAGTGCCATATGGCCTAGGGAACGACACATGCAAAACAACCTTAAAATCTTTCCGTAATCATGATTCTGGAGTCTATATTCACATAGTATGATAATGATTTCTGCCAGTTTAATATATGCTTGTATAATCTTTAGAAACCATCCTAGTTCACTTTTAATTTTTTTGCAAAGTTGAATTATTTAAATACAAAATGGAATTTTATTTTTTTCTGTTGGATCTCTTGTGTACATAATTGCTCTCATCTTAATTTTTCAATATTTTTTTTACTTATTTTGTTTCTTCTAACACTCAATAACAGGTTTCTGTTTTAAATGATCATCAGTTAATCAAATTGAAATTTTCTTTAATAAATTGGGTTTGAAGTTTAATTTTTTCTTATTTTTAAGTAATTTAAGCTACATGGCTGAGCTATCACTTACTACAAATTTATTTCATTACATAGATGGATTTTAGTTAAAATTTGGAGTAAGTATGTGGGAGACAGGTGTCTTATTACTGAATTGTTTTTTCTTAGTCACTATCCAGAGTAAGTTAGTCTTTGTTAAGGAGGGAATCATTTGTGTAATAAATTTAATGACTTGCTACTTGTCTTATATATTGCTATCCTTAAATGATAGCTCTTATAGGTGGAATAGTTGGTAACATTAATAACATATAGCCAGAAGAAAGTTAAGGAAAATGCTTCTATTCCAAGATTAAATTGCACATGGATATATGGATATCTCTCTGTGTGTGTTTACACATGCACATATGTTCATAAATTTACCAGAATAGATAATTTTTTTAAAATCTTAATAAATAGGCAGAATGACCACTAGATGTTATTTATAGTAATTTGAGCTCCATGTGGTATAGGATACCATAGAAAAAGGTAATCTTAGTCTTTATTTGTGTTTTCAAATATTAGAACTCTGAATTTTAAATTTTAGTTTTATTTAGAAAACAATAAAATCAAAGGTGTTGTTGGTAATGAGGAATTATTACTTTTTAAATTTCATTTTTCAGGTTAGAAAAGCACCTAATGCCAGTGATTTTGATCAGTGGGAGGATGAAACAGTTTACTCTAATTCAGAAGTCAGAAACTTGAATGTTCCTGCTACCTTTCCAAATACCTTGCCAAGCTCTACTGAACCCTCTACTTTAGCAAAGTTTGAAAAGATAACTGGAATTTTGCCATTGAATAATGAGGACCAATTTAAATCTAATGGAATAGACTTAGCTAGGGATTCCGAAAAACTTAATTTTCTAAAGCAAGGTGGTAGTTCAAATATTGGTCATACAGAAAATGAAGCTTCTCTGAAGACCTCAGCAACCCCACAAGAGACTCTTATTTCTGGTGGTCTCCTCCCAAAAAATGAAGAACAGAATCCATCACTTTTGGAAGAAGTTACTCCAGATCCCTACTTAATGAGTCTCCAGAACCTGATGAAAAAGTCAAAGGAATATATAGAGAGAGAACAATCTAGACGCAGTCTGAGAAATAGTGCAAAGGGAAGTGTTAATGAGAGTCATTCAGACAAAGAAAATGATGCTGTTAAAGTGACTGACTGTGTAAAGGAGAAGACCCAGTTTATGGGCAAACACTGTAGTTCAGTGATTCCTGATAAACCAAGCCTTAATAAATCAAATGTTCTTCTCCAAGGTGCTTCTGCTCAAACAAGCAGCATGAACACAGCAGTTTCGGGTAGTTTTTCTAAAGCAGACATAGCTGTGGGAACTGGCCACCCCACTGTTTCAGATCCTGATTTTGATTTTAAAGTCATTCCCACTTTTGTTACTGAAAATAATGTTATCAAAAGTCTTACTAGTTCATATGCCAAATTACCTAGCCCAGAGCCAAGCCTGAGTCCTAAAATGCATCGAAGGCGTTCTAGGCCATCATCAGCATATAATATACTTATAAATAATCCAGTAAATGCTTGTGAATTAAGTCCTAAAGGAAAAGAACAGACAGTAGACTTAGTTGTTCAAGATACTGATGAAAAAACAAGCGTACCTGAAACGGTGCCAAAGTTACCAACTGATTTAACAGGAGTTTGTTCAAGCAAGGTTTATGTCAGCAAAAATACATCTGAAGCTATACAAGAAATGGTTCTAAGTAATTCAAATCAGGTATGTCAATCTTCAGGAAATCAATTAGAAAATAAAGTTATTCATGGACTTGCTATTGTGGAAGGTCAATTAACATCTGATGGAAGAGTTCCACACAAAATGGACAGTACAAGTACTGCAATGCCAAGTTTGCATGAACCATATACCACTGGTCCATGTATAGCAAGTCAAAACTTTGGAACCCTGAGTGGACTCAAATCAGCCAGTGTGTTAGAGAAAAGCTGCAGTTTACAAATGGAACTGAATAAGTCTTATGATGTAAAAAACCCATCTCCTTTACTGATGCAAAACCAGAATGCCAGACAGCAGATGGACACCCCTACAGTGTCCTGTGGAAATGGACAATTTTTGGATAACAGTTTTGAGAAAGTTAAACGGAGACTTGATTTAGATATGGATAGTTTGCAAAAAGAAAACTGCCCATATGTCATAACAGCTGAACAGGAAAGGCAACATTTGCCAGAAAAAATATGCCCTACAGGATCTGTCTACATCAACAAGAATAAAATGTTAGAAAGTATTTCTAGAGGTAAGAAACTTGGAAATGTTTGATACCTGCCAAGCAGATGACATCTTTATTGAATACTTTTAATTGACATTTTGCAAAATAATCATCTTTATCTGTTCATTAGGGTACTTAATTTCATTTATCTTACCAGAGTGCATATTAGCTACAGTTTCGTGCCATTTGGCTTTTCTTACAGGATTTTAAATTTTAATTTATGAATCTTTCACAGTCCACTTGGTATTATAGAGAATATTGTTAGTGACTGGAGGAAAAAGTTCTTGTATGAAATCAGTTTTAATCCAGTGTACTGTTGTGATGTCTTCCTTTTGGGCTGTGGTTTCTAATGTTTTCACCTGTTTGTCCTTTCATTTGTGATGAGATCTCCTGTAGTTGGCCCTTTAGTAAATACTTTAACATCAAATTATTAGAGAAAAATATCACAAATAAGGCTCTGTGAGTAGTATTTCAAGAATAGTATCTTTAGTCCTAGCTGGTTTGGCTCAGTGGATAGAGCGTTGCCTGTGGACTGAAGGGTTCAATTCCGGTCAAGGGCATATGCCCGGGTTGCAGGCTTGATCCCCAGTAGGGGGTGTGCAGGAAGCAGCCAATCAGTGATTCTCATCATTAATGTTTCTATCTCTCTCCCTCTCCTTTCCTCTCTGAAATCAGTAAAAATACTTTAAAAGTTTTTTTTAATTATTAAAAAAAAATTAGTATCTTTAGCCCTAGCCAGTTTGGCTCAGTGGATAGGGTGTTGGCCCTAGGACAGAAGCATACCGGGTTCGAATTCCAGTAAAGGATTGTACCTCAGTTGCAGGCTCAATCCCAGGCCCTGGTCACACATGTGTGGGAGGCAACCAATCAATGTATCTCTCTCACATTGATGTTTCTCTCTCTCTGTCTCTCGCCCTCCCTTCCACTCTCTAAAAAAAAAAAAAACCAATGGAAAAATATCCTCAAGTGAGGATTAACTCCCCCCGCCCCCAAAAAAGAATAGTATCTTTATTGATAGAAATTATTTCAAATTTCTGTTGCATCTGATGTTATATTAACAACTTGCTAAAACATGTCTTCTCTATTACTTCTTACTTTGTTGTCATGGTTCATAATTCTTCATTGCTGAGAATGGGAGACATAAGTGAAGTAAATTAAGTTCTTAGACATAAACATTTCAGCTTTAATGTGATATATGTCTTCCTAAAAAAAACACCTCACATTCTGTAAAATAGTATGCTAAAAATAATAGGGTTTTTAGGAAAAATGGGGTTAGGGCTGACCATTTAAAACCTGTGCAACTTTATAAGAATGCTAATAAAAACAACAGTTGATAACCTGGGAAGCTAACCTGATTCTCCATGTAAACGACATACCATGGCTAGAAACTATCTCAGGGAATCCCAAAACCAACAAGTGGCAATTCTGACAGTGGAGGCAGCCAGGTTGCTATCAAAGTGGGCAAGGGAGGCAGTGCCCCTCTCTAGTGAGGGAGCTCCTTGTCTTGAAGCACTGGGTGGAACCCCCCACATTATTATTTTATTGTCATCAATACTTTTTTTTAAAAGGCTTTATCAAAATGCAACCTTTCATGGAGTACTTTGAGAAGGGAGAGGCAGAAAGGAGAAGGGGCATGGAAGAAAGCTCACTTGTCTGCTGCACTAGCACATGTTCAGCAGCACCTTTTTTCACGTTCAGTTAAATGATATATTTGAAGCTGAAAGTGCTGACACAGGATAGGCATTTGCCTTTGCATCTCCAGAACAAATCTTTATAGCAGTGGGCACAAAGCAATCCTTAATAAAGTTGACAATCAGCTTAACTCGGGACATTTTTAATAATGCACAGTTAAAAAAAAATATTCTTACAAATTGTTCTACAATCCAAATATACAATAGCTTGGAAAACAAAAGCCAATGTAAAAAGACAGATTAAAGCCACTAGAACAGTACAGGTTTTATATGGCTCTGATTTTACAGTTTCCTACTGCATCATCAAGGTTAGAAATCTGTTCCTCCAGCTGGCTTCATTGCTCGGGATTTCAAGAAATGCCTTTTCTTCCTGGTTTCATTTCACCTTCCAGATCCATCCAATATTCTCTAGTATCAAGTAGGAGCCTGTTGAATGAGCTGGTGAAGGTGGTGAGATGGGGGCCTTTATTTGATAGCATGAAATAAGAGTCCCAAAAGAGAATGTGGTTCAAAGGAGGGGCCTGGCTATATCTTGATTATATTATGTCAGATCCAGGAATAATCTCTTGTCAGAAACATACTTTAAGTTGATATAAAACATCAGATGTTAGATTTGTAAATTTTCTAAATCTGAGGGGACATGTTTTTTTTCAGAAGATGAGGAAATATTAAGAAGCAAGATGTTAGCATTTGAAGAAATGCGGAAGAGACTAGAAGAACAGCACGCCCAGCAGTTATCACTACTCATAGCTGAGCAGGAGAGGGAACAGGAAAGATTGCAAAAGGTGAGGTATTAAAATGTACGGATATAGGGCTGGTAAGTGGAATTTAGCCAGCAATATCTAAGAATTTTAGTCATGGATAGGATACTTGCAATTTTCCTCCAGAATATGTTAACCTAAAGGGGTCATTGGTTTTGACACATGGATAATATTTTTATTACCAGAATGTGAGGTTTACTGTTTAGATTCTTATCTATATATATAAAAGCCTAAGCGACTGAACGACCAGTCGCTATGATGCACACTGACCACCAGGGGGCAGATGCTCAACGCAGGAGCTGTCCCCTGGTGGTCAGTGCGCTCCCACAGCCAACGTCCCACCATCCCTCCCCCCAGCCGGCCAGTCCCGATCGGCCCAGATGGCCCCGATTGACCGTGCATGAATTCGTGCCTCTAGTCTAAAAATAATGTAGAATTTATCAATAGGATGCTTTATTGAATCCTTGATTCAAAACTTAATATTTGTAAAGTTATTTTATAAGTAGATGCTAAAATAAGCATTCTGCAAGAGTATATTTTAAGAGGAGGACACTTGTTTTAAGATTATTATTGTTAATATATCATATTTTAAAATCAAATTGTCAATTTTATTAGAGGGAGGAACACTTGAAATAGATAACAATTTGCTGATAATTATACATACTTTTAGCTAATCCTAAAATGATACTGTTTTGGGATACAATTTAACAAAAATATCTAGCATGTTTTAATGAACTCTTATTCTATAGGAAATAGAAGAACAGGAAAAAATGTTCAAAGAGAAGAAAGTGATTACAGCGGAAGCCTCTGAATTGGATATTAACAATACAGTGGACTTAGAATGGAGAAAAATAAGTGACTCCAGTTTGCTAGAAACAATGCTTTCTCAAATGGACTCACTCCATACTTCAAATTCCAATAGTTCTGGTAAATATTTTAAAATCCTTTCCATTTGAAAAAATTATCCTGTAGTAAGATATTTTATTTGTCACACTTTAAATTGTAGCTTTTTTTTCCAAGTAATTCCATGCCCAACCCACTGCTGTTTGCCAGCTGCTTATTAACTAGTGAAAAATTAAACAATAGCAGCAGATCGAAGATGGTGAGCAGGTGTTCATGAGAAAAGCCACTTTAGCAAAGAAAATATCCGGAAATTTGATGCAGAGTCCAATCTTTGTTCATTCATGCAGCAGGTGGTATACAAGTGAAAACACCGTTTGCTGTCTCCAGAGTAATCTTGAATTACATCTAATTCCTATCCCAGTAAGAGTTTATCTTCACATCTTCAATTATCTTGAGATGCTGTTTGTGTTGAAAAGATCCATCTGGTACATAAGCCTAACGTCCATAAATACTTTAAGTAGATCAGTTTCAGAGCCAGTTGTCATTGTTTTTTGTTGGTGGTGTTCGTAATGAGTGTTGTGTTTATTTAGGTGTTTTGCATATTCTGATTATCTCACATCAAGTATAATACTAAATGTATATTTCTCTAGGTTTCACAAATTCTGCCCTACAACATAGCTTTGGTTCTGTAAATGAAGCACCATTCTACCTCTGGGGATCATCAACTAGTGGCTTGACCAAACCCTCCGTAACAAGGCCTTCTGTAAGAGCCACAACTAAATGGTCTCAGGTGGGCAAACTTAATGATACATGTATATCCATCTACCTACTATCTATTTATCTTTCTATAACTTTTTTTAGATATATTTTTATTGATTTCAGAGAGGAAGGGAGAGAAAGATAGAGATAGAAACATCAATGATGAGAAAGAATCATTGATCGGCTGCCTCCTGCATGCTCCCTGCTGGGGATTGGGCCCACAACCCGGGCATGTGCCCTTGACTGGAATCAAACCCGGGACCCTTCAATCTGCAGGCCAACACTCTATCCAATGAGCCAAACCATCTAGGGCTCTTTCTATATTTTTTTTAATATTTTCTATATTATCTTAGGTTATACAAATGAGCATGGGTATTTTTGTCACACATCCAATAGTTTAGCTTTTATTAGAGTTGAAACTACATAGAGCATATATTTATAGAAAAATTTAGTTCATTGTAATAGATAAACAATCTTGAGTATAATGCTCAAGTTATTAAAACATATGTCTCTCTTATTTCTTCTAGGCTTTCAGTCCAGAAGTACAAGCAAAATTTAATAAAATAACTGCTGTGGCAAAAGGATTTCTTACTCGTAGGCTTATGGAGACAGATAAATTGAAGCAACTTCGACAAACTGTAAAAGTAAGAAGATCTTTATAAATTATTTGTATTTCACTTCTGTATCAGTTTCTGTCAGTCTTGTTACAGCTGAATTGTCAAATTAGTTCAGAACTTAGGCAGATCAAACTATTTTTAGTTGTTGTAATATAGGCAATTTTAGAAATCTGATTATTAATTTCATTCTGATAATTTTTTAAAATATGTAAAGAAAGTAGTTTATGTATTTTCATCTCACTTTAAAGTGAGTGCTGTTTTGATTCTGATAAGTAATAGATTTGTGTTCTTAGTAATTTTGGATTGACTGAGAAAAAGAACAAAAGGAAACTCTAGTGATTGTGAACCTTCCAAGAAAAATGGTTTTTGAAGGAGCATTTTTTTCTTTCAGGACACTATGGAATTCATAAGAAGTTTTCAGTCAGAAGCACCATTAAAGAGAGGAGTTGTTTCAGCCCAGGATGCTTCTCTTCAGGAAAGAGTGCTGGCTCAGGTAAGTGTACAGGTCCTAAAGGCTTTGGGAAATGGAAATGCTTTATTTCTCTCCCTTCACTTAACCACGGAAAATATGTTTTAATTAAAACTTTAATCTTTTTCTTTAAATAAAGTGTATATAATATTATTGAACCCTGACCTCATTTTTTAAAATGGGTACAATATTTTCTTCTTTTAAAACTAGTTGCGGGCTGCCCTGTATGGTATTCATGATATATTCTTTGTAATGGATGCAGCTGAAAGAATGTCTATTCTACATCATGACCGAGAAGCTCGCAAAGAGAAAATGCTCAGGCAAATGGTACGTTATCTGATTTTGTAATGAATAAGTGAAAAAGAAAAACTGTTGCTTCTACAGTCACAAAATACTTCTGACACCAGCTGTGTGGGTTTTCCCCCCACACCAACCAGTTCTTTGATACCCTGGGTGTCATTCAATTAAGTTCTGATAGTATCTACCTGGAGTTAACAGATACTACAAGTTAAGGAGGCAGTTAAGACTGTCCCCACGTCTGACACCAATCACAATTCCCAGGTTGTCACTTAAATTTCTGTCTGATGCTTATAAATTGGGGTTCCCATTAACCCCCTCCTTCAGGTCAGTAATTTTATAGAATGCTCACAGAGCTCAGGTAAACACTTAACATACACTTATTGGTTTATTATATAACTAGAGGCCCGGTGCGCATCATAGCGACTGGTCGTTCTGCCATTCGGTCAATTTGCATATTAGGGTTTTATTATATAGGATAAAGGATATAATAAGTTATATAGATGACTAGCCAGATGAAGAGATGCATAGGGTGAGGTCCAGAAGGATCCTGAGAGCAGAAGCTTCTGTTCCCGTAGAGTTGGGACCATCTTTCTAGCACATGTATGTGTTTACTAGCCTGGAAGCTCTCTGAACTTTAGGATTTTTGTGGAGGCTTCATCATGATCAATTATTAACTCAATCTCTAGTTCCTCTCCTGTTTCCAGAGAATAGGAGATGAGGCTAAAAAAGTTCCAAACTTCTAATCATGCTTGGTCTTTCTGATGACTAGGAGTCCACCCAGAGTTGCCTCATTAGAACACAAGATGCTCCTATCACCAGAAAATTCCAATGGGTTTAGGAGATCTGTGTCAGGATCCAAAGTCAAACACCAAATATTAAAACAAAAGATGCTTCTGCCATTCATATCAGTCAGATTAAAAGGGTTTTAGAAGTTTAGCTCTCTTAGGAACTTGGATCAAAGACCAAATATTAGCAGGAACCAGGGGCAGAATCATATATATATGCTCTTTTGGGTTTGGAATACTTGATACTAAATGTCATTCTCTATTGACTTCATCACCCTGCCTATAATTCTTAAGCACAGGTAATTCCTGGGATTACCAGCAACACTTAAGTCTATAGACTGATTAAAAGAAATCTGTGAAAGAATTGCATATTGTTTTGTGATTAGATTTTGGAGTTTGAAGCTTTGAATGTTGCTTGAACGCCTAATAAACTATCATCTACTCCTGATGAAATTTCCTTGAAGCTATCATGTGCCTTTTTCCTTTTTTGGAAATCAGAGTTAGAAAACAGGCTCCAAGTTCATTTGAAATATATCAGAGTGTTAGAGTTCTGTGGTTTGAAACAATGATCTTAGTGGGGTTGGCAAAAGAAAAGCAAATTTTATATTATTTCATTGGTTAAAATTAATTTAAATGTTTTTAATTGGACTGTTTCAATCATAAAGACTAAGTTAAAGTTCACAATACTGGTAAGATATGCCTGTCCATGCAATTAAGATCATCCTATACTATAATTTAGTGGTATTACTGGGTAGTGTTAGAGCTTTGTTACTTTTGTATTTTAAAGGATAAAATGAAAAGTTCACGAGTGTCTCTTTCCGCTGCAACACAGAAGTCTCTTGATAGGAAGAAGTATATGAAGTAAGTTTTTTTCATGTCATGTCACACTAATTTAATTATTATCATACCCATTCATTTTAGTCATCTGTTGGTCTGTATATTCATATTAGAAATAAAGAACAAAAAATAAAAAATTTTTAAAAAGAAATAAAGAAAAGTTCACTTTTCTGCAGCTGAACTGATAGAAATCCCTTTTTTATATAAGAGTTTTATAAAATCCAGTGGTAAAATCTGATTTCATCTTTAGATAAATATATTTATTAACTACTAAATTTATCAGAGTTCAACTTGTGTAACTGATAGTCAATCAGATCTTAAACATAGTTTATCCTTATATGCAGTGTCACTTTTATATCTTTTAAATATGTTCATTTTCTAATACCCTAAAGACTTAACGGGAAGAAAAACTTAATGCAAGGAATATCCTAATGATTATCTTATTAAAACTCTTTTCTTGAAAGTAGTCTTTAATATGCTTAATTAGAGGTCTTTCGTGGTACACTCTTTTAAGATGATTTGTTTCTGCCACCATGTATCACATTTGTAAACATGTCTTTTCCCCCTTTCTGAATTCATTGTTTGTGTGTCCTTATTTGTATATTGTGTTAGAGCTGCTGAAATGGGAATGCCAAATAAGAAATTCCTGGTTAAACAAAACCCTTCTGAAGCAAGGTGAGAAAAATCACTTAGCCTCAATGAGAGGCTATTTTTTTTATTTTTTTAAAAAAGAAAATGTTATAAATCCTGAGCTTGCTTTTTATTCGCTTTGTTCCATTTTTTCTCAGTAGAACACTCTCTGCTGAGTTGGAGGATCTCAGGGTCAGAATTCGTTTTAACACCTGGTCATGTACGTGGTCACATGTCAGACCAGATATTCCTGGAGCTTTCTATGAGACATGTTGTCACTGGTGAAAATTTGAGTCCTTATGTCCTGAGTTCAGTCCATGAGGGGGGAGGGGGGGTCTTTGATATTTATTTAAAAACCTTCGAGCCCTAACCAGTTTGGCTCAATGGATAGAGCGTCGGCCTGCGGACTGAAAGGTCCCAGGTTCGATTCTGGTCAAGGGCATGTACCTTGGTTGCAGGCACATCCCCAGTGGGGAGTGTGCAGGAGGCAGCTGGTCGATGTTTCTCTCTCATCGATGTTTCTAGCTCTCTATCCCTCTCCCTTCCTCTCTGTAAAAAATCAATAAAATATATAAAAACCTTCGAAAGCTAACTTAATATTTCTGATCTGTTTTCTACTCTTGTAAGAGTGAAGTTTCTTCTCTCAGATATTTGAAAGGAAAAATTGGCTTTTGTAAAGTATATAAATAAATTACCTAAAAGCAGCAGGATTAATACTTATGTTGGACATCTCTTTCCTGACAAAAACCTAATGTTTGAGTTCTTGGTGAGCAAAATATAAGTACCATATTAATTTGCTTTAATCAGTTTGCTTTGCTTTGTAGTATTATAGTGGCCATATCATTGCATAGATGACTTCTACCACCCTGTTATTATTTTATCTAAAGAAAATGGGGGGAAACGGAATTTATCCTGTTGAATTAAATTTTTTTTTTTTTTATTTTGTTAACAGAGTTCTTCATGAAAACCAAGGACAGAATGCTCCTGTTCATAGGCTACTTAGTAGACAAGGGTAAGAATGCAACACATAAGCGTATTAAAAATATTCAAATCAAGATTAGCTTTGAGAGGGAAAATAATTTAGTGCTCTTTGTATAAAGGATAGCTGTTTTTCAAATGTGATATTTTTTATAGAATTAGAAAGAACTTTTAAAGTTTTGTGTTCAAAGATAACCCTTTGGTGTACTATTGTATATTATATTTTAATTATCATCTTATGTTGGCATGCTTTTACTTTTCATTTCATACCATTTTGCTCATTAAATATCGTAAACATCCGTATAGTAATTTCAGCATCACCAAAGTGTTCTTCAACAAAGTATGTTACAGTCTCCTGCTGAAGCAAAGTATAGCTTCCCAATGAGCATGCATGAGACTTAAATTATTTTCAAGCTTATTTGTGTTAAGAACAGTTGATGCAGTATGGTTGCTTTCTTTGAATGTTGAACATCTAGACCTTAATGCAAGTGACTTATTAATTCTTTTATATTCAATTAGAACCCCTAAGACATCAGTGAAGGGGGTTGTGCAAAATAGACAGAAGTCTTCACAGAGCAGAGTGCCTAACAGAGCGCCTGTTTCAGGTGTGTAGCAATGAGTTTGCGAAGCCCATTCGAAAGAAACAAGTGCACAAGCTGCCCTGTAATGCAGGCCTCACGCATGGGATCGGTTGTCCTTGCCACCATAATTCTGGCATATTCACAGTCATTCCTATAAAGTGATCATTTGTTTTAGTAGTTCGTGGCAGTCAGGAGGAGATCTTAGTAAAACTGTTTCCAATGTTGATTTCTATAATAATTCCATAGAAACACTGTTGTTTTTAATCTGAAAATTTTATAGAATTATACATGCTTAATTCAGAAACCTTTTTATAAATGAGTGAAATTTAACAGTGATCTCATGCCTAAGTCTATGCATGTTCAGTTTTGGGGAAGTGTAGCTATTACCCAGGAATACTTTATCTGTACAGAAGGGAAAGAAATTCTCCCTCTGACCACAAGATCACATGTGAATATGCCAGTTGGGAGGGGGTAAGTTCTTGTTTTCTTGTGCTCAATAAGAAGCTTGCGTTAAATCTATGTTCATTATTAGAGGATTCTTTAAGGGCTAAACTAAATAATGTATTTTAAAATTCTGTGTATGGTGGCAAGAGACAAATTCAGTGTTGAGCTAATGCAAACGCTTAAGCTAATGTTTTAATATTTTTTATTTATCTTTGTTAACACACTTTGATAAGCTCACAAAAAATTACATGATCCATTAAAAATACTTTCTAAAATGCTTTTTTAAATTATACTACTTTTTAAGCATCTAAAAGAAACCAAAATTAATCAGGCAATGACAATTAAATTTATAATAAATTATAATCTCATTAATATACATTTAGCATATTTTAGAGCTTTTATTACTAAGTGATTTTCTCCAAAATAGGAGAAAACAAGCAACATAAGAATTTTTTTTCATATTATCACCACTTGCTCATAGAAGTTCAAAGAAGGAATCAGATATTGATCATAACTTGGAAATGATTGCTGACCTTTGCATGTAGAAAGTGAATTTCATTCATAATGTTGCATGTATAGACGATAATTTAAATGTCATCTTTTGGAAGTCACTGTGAGTGACAGTTGGTCAGTTCTTTTATGCAGTTGAAGATCCTGCTCATTGCAGAGGGAGTCAGAATGAGCTGTTTGAAAAATAACCTTTTGAAAGAACTCAGACCAAACACCAGATCTCTTGCTTGTGAAGTTATATAGAATTTTCAACTTTTGAAAATTCAACTTTTTAAAAGGACATTTTCAATTTTTCCCCATGATATATATATAACCATATATATATATGGTGATAAAGCCTAGCTAGTTGGCAAATCATTGAGGAATTAATACTATTTTGCCTCAAATTATCTATTTGCCACAGTGACTACTCTCCATGTTCTTTCTCATGCATTTCATCTCCACTTTTTGTCACTTGTGAACTTGTAAGCAAAATAGCAACTACTGTTTTTATTCAGGAATGTTCAACAATGTCACTGCAGTTAATAATATACAATGAATTTTAGTATTGAGAATTATTGTGATTTAATTGCATCGCAACATAATATAAATGAACTCAACCCTTGAATTAGCATGTCTAATTAATATATACCTAAACAGGTACAGAAATCCTTTCCTAAGATTTACTTAGACATGAGCGCATCTATAATAATAGAAACGTAATATGCTAATTAGACCGGACAACCTTCTGGATGAAGCCGGGCCTGTGAGGGCCCAGGCAAGCCACCATGGCTGCAAGGGCCAAGCCCCTTGCACAAATTTCATCCATCGGGCCTCTAGTATTTAAATGATTTAAAAAGACTAGAGAATCTTACCCTTTTACATAAAATGAAAATTTGGGATATGTAAAATTCTCAACACAGGGTTTCATAGTTGTTCTTAAAAAGATTACTCTTTCCTGTTTAGATTTTTAATGGTCTGGATTATGTTTCAAACAAATTTGAAATTATGCTCTGATTTAAGCTACATGGAGAACAAACCATTTAGTAAGCAATTTTAGGAAATTAATTTTTATGATGACAGAATATCATAATCTTAGAATGAAGTAGAATTCTAAGGTGTTAAAATTTACTACAAAGCACTTAAAGTTGTTTATAGGTTTTACAAACTAAATTGCAATGTCTGATCTTGTATGCTTTAAAGCATATTTGTTCACTTTATATTTTGTGTTTAACTCAAGGGTTGATAGTGAAATTCAGAAACCACTAATTAAGGCAGAGTAGGAGGCAGCAATGAAAAATGGGTAAGGAATGCAACAAAGCAGGTTGAATTGGGGTATCAGAATCTCTGCTTCTAGCTCTGTTACTTAGGCAGGTGACTTACTCTCCTGTGTCTCAGTTTTATTGCAGAGGTAGCAGTTTCTACCTCAGGATTTTATGTAAGGATTAAATATGATAATGTATATTGCTTAACTTAGTGCTTGGCAAGAGCATTAAATAGTATCATTACAGAAAAACTAACATTGAGAAATAATATTAGTTCTGCTCTATTTTTAGGAGTATATGCAGGAAAAATCCAAAGAAAGCGGCCAAATGTTGCGACAATTTAAGAAGACAACATTCATTAGGATAAAAGCGGGGGAGGGTTCCATCCATATTATTGTCCATGCCCAAGACTTTCATTTCACCCTGGACTGTTTACACAGACAAAGTGATGTCAAAGGGCTGAATAATTATGTGGGTAATATGGTCAGTCTGGCTAATTCCTTCCCACACCCCCATTTTCCTTTTAATATTAGGTTTGGGTGAAGACAAATTAGTATTTAGTTAATTGACTCATCTCTATGCTTAATCTGTACAAACATAAGTTTGTTTTATGTACCCATATGTCTGTTGAGAACTTTTTGTAAAATTAAAAGGATATTTGGGTTTATATTTATAAAATACTGAAAAGGTGTGATAAAATATAGGTTCTGAAATATAAATTTCATTCATCTCTGCATACTGATTGCTGAATTTGATGTATTAGATGCTGTTCTATTCAAGGGGAAATTATTGCAGAAAAATGTTTTCTCCCAGTTTTGTAAAAACTGATTAATCTCTCAGCCTTCATATTCTTGGTCTTACAGGATAACCACGTAGAATAAAACATTTGCCTGCTCATTGTAGGTCCACCTAACATTTACCACAGAAGTATCTGGGGATCACCCTTTTGGTCATAAGCACACATTTCTCTCAACAGCTAGTCATCTTACAGAAATGTTAGGTTTGATGTTTGTTGTCCCAGTACTCTTAGAAACATTTCTGCTGAATTATAAAATCTTTCTGTAGAGGGTGACAACTTTGGTGAAGACAGTACAGTCTTCTTGAATGTAGTGGCATGCATTAATGTTACATTCATCTCTGTAACATAGAATGTTGCATGCAGTTTTGTGTTCCATTTAGTCTGTATATTTTGTTCCTTCAGAGTCTGCTTTTTCTAGCATGCTTGATTTAGGAGAGAACAAAGGGCTATACAACATAATAAGAAGGTCAGATTTTCAAATGGGATAGTAATATTATCTAGTTGAAATTCTGCATTATTTAAGAAGCACTGCCTTTTAAAGTTTTTCGTCACTAACATATTCATTTAAAATATAAACCAAAAAATGTTAATAAGGGACTATGATTTTATGAAAGAGAATGCCACTGTTGATTTATGATAGCATTTCCAAAAAGGGCTTTATGCTTCTCACATAAAATTGGGACTGTGTACATTTAACCTGTCTGAATTTTTAAAAGATACTGGTGTTTGAAAATGTAGCCTATATATATTCCTAATATTCTTTAAAGAATGGAGATAAAGACTGTTTTCTTTGCTTTTCTGTTCTATTTAAAATATAACCTTTAACCTTTACCATGGACAGAAAGTGATAACCTATTCTGTCCGGGCATAAACTTTATTGAGATGTATCATTTGTTGAATGAGTAAACCAGGAAGTTAAAAGACAGGTAAAATGTCTGAGTTACCAATTTTTTTATTTGTAGGCAAGAATATCAAATTATCTTAATATGATAAATTATGCTTTATCGTTCTGAAACCTCAGGAGACAGATTGCTCATATCATTGTGGATCTTTCCAGTAAGAAAGATACTAAAAGTTTTGTGTACACTAATACAAATTAGCTAAAAGAAATAGTATGTTTTGGAGAAAGTTAAAACTAGTTTTAGATTAAGGATGAGAAACTTGAGTATGTTGTTTTTTTTTAAGATAGAGCATGTGTGTTTTATACCTTGTTTAAATGTTCACAGCTTTTCTCATAAAAGTGCCAGACATTGTTTTTGTGCTTTTAATGGATTTTTACTTACATGCATTATTTTTTTAATATTTACTTTGAAGTGGAATGTTCATTAATGTGAATTGTATTTATTTTTATACTTTAATTTTCATTAGTTTTGCTTCTAGGAAAAAGACAAAATAAACTTTTCTTAAAGGAAATCTAGTTTGATCTTTTTTATTTACCAGGGAAAGGACTATTAAGGGATAGATGTTAAAAAGTATCGGGTTAAAATGTTAATACTGTAATATGGTCATTTTTTACAATTAAAAGTCCCATGAGAAGTATATCCCACTATTTAATATTAACCTATACCAGTGCTTATTCCAGCATTTAATTGTTGCATGACTCGGACTTCTCAGAAGACAAAAAGTTCACTAGAGGTGGAAATGTCTTCGCTTACTAAATTAGAAGCCTGCTAAGGAGCGAATGGGAGCAAATACTGAGGTCGAAGCTCACATAAAAGCTGCTAATTTGTGCAGCTTTGAGTCCAGCTTTTGTTCCTGCCTGTCGTATAATGTGAGCCCAGTAAAGTGCTGCTCATTTTCACCTCTTTCTGAGATATACTGCATTGGATAATCTGCAAGGCAGTGTGAGAAGAGCCCTCGCTTTTCCCATGGCCACCCTTGAACTCTTGTTCATTTCATATATTGGGAATAATGGATATGACAGAAAACTTATTCACACTGAGCAGAAAGAAAGGGCCCATTCTGGAGATGAAGGTCTTTGTTTTCTGTCGGGTGTCACTGTTCCATGAGCAACCACAGACAATCGCTACCCCCTCCCCATGAAAAGTAATAGTTACAAAAAGAAAAGCAAATGGAGTTGGAATGCTTGATCTCTAAGGGACCATAGTAGGCATATGTATATGTAGATTATAAAAATAATTAAAATAAAAACAAAGGAGACTTAGTTGTTGAATACACAGCCAATCAAACTGGAATATGTTGCAGCGGAGTCCCATCCTTGATCAAGTTGTAAAGACACCTCTGAGGGCAAAAATTGTGTCTAACCAAAATTATACTTGAAAATAAATATTGCCTTTCCCTCATTTATTTCTTCTTCCTTTCTGGTCAGTTTCTCCGTGGCTTTCAATTCTTCAGTTTCTTGAGGTGGTTGGCAAAGTTGCCATCTGAATGGTGGTTTCCTTCTCAGCGAGTGGTGGGAAAATCCCCTATTCACACTTTGAATAGGTTTTAACATCTGGTTCAGGATGACTTACACTATCTGTTGAATGCCCACTGGGGTCCTGTGTATCTCTCCAGAGCAAGGATCATGAGAACAGGCCAGGGAACCTGTCCTGGGCCAGGACACCAGGGACACGGAGGAGAACAGAAATCTGCCAGTTCCCAAGCTCATGTGTGCATGGAGACTTAGTCACCCCGAAGCCAGACATGACTGAAACACTGAAGACTTGGTTTGTGACCAATCTGTCGTGGAATGGGAGACACCTGGGAGTCCTGGTTAACGGAAAGGCCCAGAGTCCCGTCAGCGGAGCACAACCTGGAGACAGACTATTGCCACATTTATATATATATATATATAATTGATTTTTACAGAGAGGAAAGGTGAGGGATAGAGAGTTAGAAACATTAATGAGAGAGAAACATCAATCAGCCACCTCCTGCACACCCCCTACTGGGGATGTTCCCGCAACCAAGGTACATGCCCTTGACCAGAATCGAACCTGGGACCCTTCAGTCCTGCACACCCCCTACTGGGGATGTGCCCGCAACCATGGTACATGCCCTTGACCAGAATCGAACCTGGGACCCTTAAGTCCACAGGTCGATGCTCTATCCACTGAGCCAAACCAGCCAGGGCAAGCCCCAATTTTAGATCACATTGTGGGGTGGGAAACCCTCCACCCAGGGAAATGTTGAGGTGGTGTGGATGGATGAGCCCTGGTCTGACAGGCCTGGGGAGCCCCAAAGCCCTAAGCCTGCTGGAGGGTTGCATACTGCTCATCTGTATGGAGTGTGGTTCAGGGTAGCCAGAAGCAGCGGGGCCAAATCACAGGCACACATTTACTTGGGACAGAAGGCATGTGCCTAAATCTCAGTCCCTGTCTATCAACGTCACTTATTCCCACTGAAGACACAACAGGGTGTAACTCCGAAGTCTTGCCATGGAGAGGTGAAGAAGGACCCACTGTGGAATCTTCCCCTAAGGGTGCCTTGGAGTCCTGGTTGCTGGGTTGGTCGCAGCTGCTGGAGGCCCGGGCTCGAGAATGAACACATGCAGCTCTGCTCACCTCCAGAGCAAGGGGGATAAGACAGCCTGGCTCCTGGTCCTGCTGCAGGGGCCGGCTCAGGAGAGACCAGCTCACAGTCGGGCTCTTGTGGAAAACCAGGCATCTGCCAATGTTCCTACCTACACAAGCATAAAGGATGCTATTGAACAGGAAGACAAATATTGTGAGAACTGTGAACCTTAATTGGTGAGACCGGACAATCTGCAACAGGAGACATCTAAGAGTCATAAGTCCTGGATGGGACAGGGACGCCATCAGCACAATCATTTGGGGACTGACTGTTGCACCTGTGAAGCCCCAGTATCTTTTCATATTTCAAGGGGAACCCCTCCATCAAAGACAATACCCAAAAGGTTTGAATGAGCTATGGCCCACAAGCCTGAAGGGCTTCAGGTGCCCAAAGCCTGCTGCAGACATGCCCACTATGCATGTGCATGCTGCGCGGTTCAGGGTAACCAGAGATAAGGAAGAGTTCAAGGGTAAAGAGGTGCCTTTTACTGGTGTGGGTTCGTGAAAGATCCAAGGCGTCTCCCTAATTCCAATCCCTATTCTACTTAATGTTGCCTATTACCCCTGAGGAAGATCTTGGGAGTACTCAAAAGTATCCCATGTTGCCCTGGCCAGTGTGTTCCAGTGGATAGAGCACCAAAGGATTGTGGGTTTGATTCCCAGCCAAGGCACATACCTGGTTTGCAGGTTCAATCCCTGGCCTAGTCAGGGCAAGTTTGGGAGGCAGCCAATCAATGGGTTTCTGTCTGTCTCAAAAATCAATGGAAAATATATCCCTGTATGAGGATTAACAACAAGAAACTATCCCATACTGCGGTGGGGCCAGGCTGGCAGGGTATCTTCCAATGAGAGACATCTGGAAATCCTTGTTGAAAAGCTCATGGTTGAAGGAGGCCTGGGGCGGGAGTTAAGCTGCACATGCCCATTTTGTTCCGCTCCCCATGACAAAGGGACCTAAGACCCAGCCTTGGTCTTGTTCCGGGTCCAGGACTAAATTCAGGAGTGGCCAGGTCACTCTCTGGGCTTTTGGGGAGAAATGATATGCCAATGTCCAATCCTGCACCTGCACAGAGGTTCCTATTCCCCCAGAAGCCAGGTGTCCCTGAAACTCTGAAGCCTTGATTGGTGAGACAGGAATTTCTGAAAACTCCCAGAGTCCTGTCCTGGAGAGGCAGCTTGAGCAATTGTGGGCAGTTTCCACCTCTAGCCCCAGCATGTGATTGTATTGCAAGGGGGAACCCCCACCAAGGTCAGGTTGTTCCGAAGGCCAAGGTCCTACAAGCCTAAAGGGACCTGTAGCCCAAGTCCTTCTGAAGGGGTGCCTACTGCATGACACTTAGTTGAGAATATCCAGGGATAACAATAATTTCAAGGGACATGATTGGTTGTTCACGGTGCAGGATCAGGGGTGCCCACGGTGTCTCAGTAATTCCCATCTCTGTCCTAACTACTGTCAGCTATTCCTCCTGAACAAGACCCAGGGGAACTCAAAGTCTTGCCAACACTGGTTGGGAGGAGCTGGAGGTTTACCCTCCAATAAGAGACCTGGAAATTCTTGTCAGAAGGGTCGTGGTTGGTGGAAGCCTGGATCGGGATGGAACTGCGCGCTCTGGCCCTGCACAGTTCTTCAGAGCAAGGGGAGTAAGTCCCAGCTCAGACCCGGAACCAGTCCAGGACTCAGTCCAGGAGAAGCCAAGCCACTCTTTGCCGTGCTGAGAAAAACCAGGCATGGGCCAAAGTCCAATTCCGCACCTTCTCAGAGGCTCCTATTCAAACAGAGGCCAAATATCTCAGGAAATATTAAGCCTTGGTTGGTGAGACCCAGGAGATCTGGGAGTGAAATGAGAGTCCTTGGTCCTGGAGAGATGCAGACCCCAGCGACAGCACGACCAATAGGGGAATGGCCGTCACCATCCTTGCAACACCAGCTTCAGATCATATTGCAGATCATATTGTTCATCCAGAACAATAACCAGGTGGTTTGGAAGGACATGGCTTCCCTGGCCTGGAGAGCCCAGCTGAATTGCTGAATTGATGTGTACTGCCCATCCATGTGTCGTGGCGTCAAACCCCATGTCGATGTTCTTACTCAATTGGTGTCACTTTCCTGCACTGACATAATGCTGTTCCAAATGCAGCTGACAAGAGTGTTCTTAGAGACATCTCTTTAGAAAGTGTTCTAATTCACTTCACTGCATGCCTTAGGGCCGTGGTCAGCAAACTGCGGCTCGCGAGCCACATGCGCCTTTTTGGCCCCTTGAGTGTGGCTCTTCCTAAGCCTTAGGAGTACCCTAATTAAGTTAATAACAATGTACCTACCTATATAGTTTAAGTTTAAAAAATGTGGCTCTCAAAAAAAATTTCAATCGTTGTACTGTTGATATTTGGCTCTGTTGACTAAGGAGTTTGCCAACCACTGCCTTAGGGTGTGGAGACACTTCCATTCAGCGATAGCACAGACCTGAATGCAGCACGCAGGTTGTGTTCTTAGGAATATCTTTATTGTAAGTGTTTTTAAAACTTCAGTACATGCATTACACAATGGGGACCACCTCGGTTCACTGATATGACACTGGTGACCACATAGGTTTTAGGTAGTGATTTTAGAAACATCTTTATTACAACTGTTCTGACACCTTTTACTCTATACATTAAACTATGGAGATCAATTCCAACCACTGAGACAACACTGGCATGATGGTAGATTCCAAAGTGTCATTCTTAGAAACCTGTTTATTACATGTGTTCTTAAAACTTCATACATGGGTTAAAGAATGGATCACTTTTACCTTCTGATATAACACAGGTCTGAAGGTAGCTTACAACTAATGTTCCTAGGGACATCCTTAGTATCAGCATTCTTACACACTTCACTACATACATTTCAGAATGGGGACCACCTCCATGTAGTGATGTAACACTGTTCTGAATGCAGCTTCCAAGCAATGTTCTAGAAATATATTTATTACAATGGATCTTAAGTACTTCAGTGAATTTATTAAAGCATGGACGTCACATCCGCTCAATGATATAACACTGTTCTCAACAGCTTGTAAGTTGCATTCCAGAGGGAATTACTCTATTCAGTAATACAGTAGTTGCCACAACACACCTTGCAAGCAGCATTCTTAGAAATGTTCTAGTTATAAGTGTTGTACACTTCAACATGCATTACAGAATCAGGATTACTTATATTCACTGACATAACACTTGTGAATACAGCTTGCAAGTAGCGTTCTTAGAAACATCTTTATTAGTGTTCTTGATATAACATTCGCTGATATAACAATTTTAACATATAAAATTTATATTTCTAGTGTTTTTAGAAACATATGTATTGGAAGAGATCGTAATTACTTCACTATATTCATTACAGACTGAGTGTCACCTTAGCCTGGCCAGTGTTGCTCAGTGGTTATGCATCATCCTATGAACCAGAAGGTCACAGTTCGATTTCTGGTCAGGGCACATGTCCGGGTTGTGAGCTCGACCCACAGAGGGGGGCATGCAGAAGGCAGCCGATCAATGATTCTCCCTCATCATTGATGTTTCTATCTCTCTCCCTCTCCCTTCCTCTCTAAAATCAATAAAAATTTTTAAAATGTTTTTTTAATTTTATAAAAAAGAATGTCACTTTCATTCTTGACTATACCACTGTTCTTAAACTGCTTGCATGTAGCGTTCTTAGAAATAGCTTCATAACTAGTATTCTTTATACATTTAAAAACCTTTGTGAATTTCAGAATGTGCATTGTTTTCATTTACTGAAATAACAGTAGTCAAAATGCAGCTTGCAAGTTGCGTTATTAGAAAGGATGTTCGTAAGCATTTTTCTACATGCATTACAGGAAGGGGATCATTTTTACTCACCTGTATATATAACACTGGCTTGAGTAAAGCTTGAAAGCAGCAATTTACAAATATCTCTATTAGAATTGTTTGTAATAACATCACTACCTCCATAACACAATGGTGATCACTTTCACTCACTGATGAACTGGTTTAAATTCAGCTTACAATGGGCATTCTTAGCAACATCATCTTTAGACGTATTCTTTATCACCACCACACTCATTACAAAGTATATTTCCATGACTGATATAAAACTCCTTTGATTGCAGCTTGCAAATAGTGTTCTTAGAAATTCGTTAAGAATTCACTACATGCATTGCAGAATGAGCATCACCTCCATTCCCTGAAGTAACATCATTCAAAACGCAGCTTGCAAGGAGCTTTGTTTGATACACGCTTGTTTCAAATGTCCCTCCCAATCACTGAAATACACTGTGCACAGCAGAGCTGGCAAGTACTTTTTAGGGAAATCTAACTACATGTGTTCTTAACACATTAATACATGTGTTAAAGAACATGTATCACTTCTAGCTCACAAGTGTGTTTTCAGAAACATGTTAATTACAAGTGTTCATAACACAACACTATATGTACTATATAGAATTGGTATGACTTTCATGCTGAAAGGAAATTTTGGAAATTACAAAGCATTATCTTATTTCTAATCCTTTGATAACTTTTGTTTTAACATATAAGGCATAATATTGTCAGCAAAATATTACTCACGGTTTCCCAATGTTCTCTGGCTCTCTCTAACTTCTGAATATTAGTTTTATAAGAACTGACATCAAAGTATAGCAGTTCTAATCAAAAACTTAATCTTTTATTATAATAAAAACTATCAAGAAATCACTCAGTAGATTTTGATAAGGAAAATGCTGAGGATATAGCAGTTAAAAGGTGCCTGCTTTTAAGAGTTGGAGGAAAATTTATTAACCAGCATATAATAAACAGACAAATTTTAAGAATTAGTAGAACTTCAATCAGGTAAGTGCTATGAAGATAATCTCCCAAAGAGACAGGACTCTACAACAGAGAATGGTGAGAGAGGACTATTTCTTACGATCTTTGTCCTTTTTTATATTGGCGCAACCCTGAGTCTGTGATATTTCAGAGTCAGCCTTCATTTTATAAAAATTCATAATTTCTTCATCCAGTTTTCTTTTCTCCTCCTCAAGTTTTATTGTCTCCTCTTGCTGGATTCTTTTAAGACGCTCAAACTTGTCCTGTAGCTGTGAAACAAAGATGCATTTGTGACTCAAAGCGCATGTGTGGGTATCCCTGGGAACATGCTTGACTTCTTTCCTGGTTATCAAACATATATTAATCGTCAAAGTAGAGTTTGATCTTAATAACAATCTCAAAACTTTGTTTAAAATAAACATTCACATATTTAAAAAATTTATCAGTTAAAAAGTGTCTCCCCATTGAACCAAATGTAATAAAAACTATGGCTTTAAACAACACAGTTTTTTATTTTTTGTAAATATATTTTTATTGATTTCAGAGAGGAAGAGAGAGACAGAAACATCAATGATGAGAGAGAATCATTGATCAGCTGCTCCCTGCATGTGAGACCGTCACCCAGGCATGTGCCCTTGACCGGAATTGGACCCGGGACCCTTCAGTCCGCAGGCCAACACTCTATCCACTGAGCAAAACTGGCTAGGGCAACACTCAGTTTTTTAAATACTTGTTTTTCCAAATGATATCTATTTTCTCACTCTACACTTCCCCATAAATCTCTTCAAATAAAATTTGATAAATTCATGCTCATTAAAAATATACACATTGAAATATAGTAGGAATGATGGAACAATTGTTAAGACTTTAAATGATACAGACCTTTTCTTCTTAAGTGAAATTAGCATAATTATAGAAAAAAAATTCCAAACACCTCATTCAGTTACTTTTTATTTACTTGTGAGGTTGTATTTAATCTGTGGGATTTAAAATAAATATAATCAGCCATATGAAAGAGTCCATTAGAGTTGGGCCTAGATCTTAACACTTCATTCAACAATGTAAGGATTGCTTGTATGCATCAGAGAAGGTATGGCTTATATATACTAATAAAAGGGTAATATGCTAATTTGACCGGGAGACCTTCTGGACATCCTTCCAGACAAAGACATGGTGGCAGGGCTGAGGCACAGGTGGTTAGGGGTGATCAGGCCAGAAGGGGAGGGCAGTTGGGGGTGATCAGGCCGGCAGAAGGGGCAGTTGGGGGTGAGCAGGACAGTAGGGGGGGGGGCAGTTAGGGGCAAGCAGGCCAGCATGCAGAGTGGTTAGGGGCTATCAGGCAGACAGGCAGGTGAGCAGTTAGGAGCCAGCAGTCCCAGATTGCGAGAGGGATGTTCGACTGCCGGTTTAGGCCCAATTCCACAGGGATCGGGCCTAACCCGGCAGTCAGACATCCCCCGAGGAGTCCCAGATTGGAGAGGGTGCAGGCCAGGCTGAGGGACACACCCCCCCCCCCCCGCATGAATTTCGTGCACCGGGCCACTAGACTATAATAATAAAAGCATAATATGCTAATTAGACTGGACGACCTTCCTGACAAAGCCATGGCAGCAGGGGCCAAGGCAGGTGCCACGGCAGTGGGGGCTGAGCCCCTTGCACGAATTTCGTGCATCGGGCCTCTAGTATGGCATAAGAGTCTAAAGGACAAGTTTATTTGCAGCTTAACTTTTTGAAAAACAAGCAGACCGGGGGATTCTATTGGCACAATATTAACTGTCTGGTGGATATGGCTGTGAAAAACACATACACGGGGTGAGCACCAGTGGTTTTCAACCCTAGGTGCTCATTAGAATTATTCAGCGAGCTTACAAACCTCTCAATGTTCAGGCTGCACAAGATCAATTACATCAGATGACCTGGAGCTGAAAGCCAGGCATCAATGCTTAAGAAAATTCCCCAGGTGATTTTATTGTGCAGCAAAGGCTGAGATCATGGTTCTAAATAAAGATTCTTTTTTCCTTTCCTGGAGTCAGATGTCTCTTGGAATTACATCTTCAGCCCTGAGAAGCAAATGAGCATCTAGGTACAATGGCAAGAAGAATGATTGGAAAGGCTGGGGATGTGAGAGTGTGGTATCTGTAAGTGATGGCAAAAATCACTGTGGAGCCGAGACCGGTTTGGCTCAGTGGATAGAGTGTCGGCCTGCGGACTCAAAGGTCCCAGGTTCGATTCCGGTCAAGGGCATGTACCTGAGTTGCAGGCACATCCCCAGTAGGAGATGTGCAGGAGGCGGCTGGTTGATGTTTCTCTCTCATCGATGTTTCTAGCTCTCTGTCCCTCTCCCTTCCTTTCTGTAAAAAATCAATAAAATATATTTTTAAAAAAATCACTGTGGAAATGTTTCTTTTTTAAATGGGAGTGTGAGAGTAGAAATCAGAGAAAGCTAAACTTCATCCTAGTATACAAACATTTCAAATATCAATGACTCTGGTAAAAAGCCTGAAGTTTTCCCCCAAACAGGTACAAAGCAAGGATGTATGCTCTCATCACTCCCTTTCAACCTTGTATTGGAAGTCCTTGCTAAGGCAATAAGACAACAGAAGGAAATAAAATATTTACAGATTGAGAAAGAAGACATAAAACTGTCTTGTTCACGGGTAACATGACCATCAATGTAGAAAATGCAAAAGAATTGACAAAAAGAACATCCTGGAACTAATGAGATTAAAGTTGCAGGATATAAGGTTAGTTGCTTTTCTTAGCAAGGACCTACAACCAAGATTACTCTGCCCAAGAAAACTATCATTCAAAATTGAAGGACAGATAAAGAGCTTTCTAGACAAGAAAAAGCAAAAGGAGTTCATTACCACCACCAAACCAGTATTCCATTAAATGTTAAAGGGTCTTCTTTAAGAAGAAAATAAAAAATATGAACAATAAAATGGCAATAACCCTAGCAGGTTTGGCTCAATGGATAGAGTATTGACATGCTGACTGAAGGGTCCTGGGTTTGATTCCGGTCAAGGGCACATGCCTGGGTTGTGGACTCAATCCCAGTTGGGGACGTGCAGGAGGCACCCAATCAATGATTCTCTCTCATCATTGATGTTTCTCTCTCTCCCTCTCCCTTCCTCTCTGAAATCAATAAAAATATATTTTAAAAATGAAACGAAATGGCAATAAATAGATATCTATCAACAATTGAATCTAAAGAAACAAAATAAACAAACAAGCAGAACAAAAACGGAATCATAATGACTGAGTGCCTGCTCCATGCTAATCTTTGTTCTAAATGCTGAGGATACAGCAGCTAACAGGAGGGCCAAGGTGCCCGCTTTGAGAGTTAGAGGAAAATATACAATGAGCAGACAAATTTTAAAAATTAGTAGAACTTCAACCAGAGTTAAGTTCTATGAATAACAAGAATGTTTTGATAGTTACCAGGTGGAGGAGTTTTGGGGGGAAAGGCAAAAAAGGTGAAAGATTTAAGAAGTATAAATTGATTGTTACAGAATAGTCATGGGGGTGCAAAGTACAGTATATGGAATATAGTCAATACTAGTCTAATAACCATGTATTATGTCAGATGGGTGCAAGATTTATTGGGATGATCACTTAAGTTATGTAATTTCTAATCACTGGGGTGTACAACTGAAAGTAATATAATAATGTGTGTCAACTGTAATTGAAAGTAAAAGATGATTGAAAATTATATTCCAAAAATTTTTTAAAAGGTTCATTGCTTTTCTATATATCAGCAATGAATAGGTAGAATTTCAAATTAAAACACAATACCAATTGCATTAGCACCCCCCAACATGAAATACTTTGGTATAAATCTAACAAAATATATACAAACCCATGTAAGGAAAACTACAAAACTCTGATTTTAAAAATCAGAGAAGAGCCCTAGCCAGGTAGCTCAGTTAGTTAGAGCAACATCCCAATACACCAAGGTTCATGCTCACTTCAGCAGCACACATACCAATACACCGAGGTTGAAGGTTCCATCTCCGGTCAGGGGATATACAAGAAGCAACCAATGAATTCATAAATAAGGAACAATAAATCAAGATATATATCTCCCTTTCTCTCTCTCTCTCTCTCTCTCTCTCTCTCTCTCTCAAAATAAATAAATACAGTAAATAATTTTAAATCAGAGAAGAACTAAATAAATAAAGAGATATTCCATATTTGTGGATAGAAAGACTACATATTATCAAGATGTTACTTCTTCCCCACATAATCTAGAGCAGCGGTTCTCAACCTGTGGGTTGCGACCTTTCACAGGGGTCGCTTAAGACCATCGGAAAACGCATATATAATTACATATTGTTTTTGTGATTAATCACTATGCTTTAATTATATTCAATTTGTAACAATGAAAATACATCCTGCATATCAGATATTTACATTACGATTCATAACAGTAGCAAAATTACAGTTATGAAGTAGCAACGAAAATAATTTTATGGTTGGGGGTCACCACAACATGAGGAACTGTATTAAAGGGTCGCGGCATTAGGAAGGTTGAGAATCACTGATCTAAAGATTCAGTGCAATCCCAATCTGAATCCCAGCAAGTTATTTTATGGATATTGACAAACTGATTCTAAAGTGTATATGGCAAAACAGAAGGCCCAGAAAGCCAGCACGATATTTAAAGAGAACAAAGTTGGAGCACTGATGCTACTTGACTTCAAAATTGGCTGTAGTATTCTAACTAAAGCTGCAGTACTCAAGAAGTAAATGCACATATGCATAGTCCATTGGTCTTTGACAAAGAAGCAAAGGCAATCACTGGAGAAAAGACAGTCTCTTCAACAAGTGGCACTAGAACAAGGGAACATGTACAGGCAAAAATATGAATCCCTTTTTACCTAACCTAATGGAATTTCTGTTGCTTATAGTTCAATTGTCCCTGACTGAAACATCTGGTATACAGCACTTGTTTCTATGGAAAAAGAAGTTCATATTTCCAATTTATCTACTAAAAATAAATATTTTTTCATTAATCAACATTTACCTGCTTACTTATAAAAGTGTAGGAAATTTTCTAACTCAGTAATAGCGTTAGGAAGTACATGACTTCACAGAAGCCACTAGTTTGAATGTGTAATAAATTAAACTTTATGTATGAAAATTCAAATTATAAATAAAATAAAGATAAATATGTTTTACAAATTTATTTTAGGGCTTATTAAAGAGAAAATTGCCTAAATGCACTAGAAAAAAATTATAGATTATAATTTTTTAAAGGCTGAATTCAAAGTCTATATGATAAATAGCTACTTTTTGAAAAATAGCAAATCATCTTCAAAAACATCAACTAGCCTGGCCAGTGGGGCTCAGTGGTTGGGCTTTAACCTATGAACCAGGAGGCCACGGTTCGATTGCCAGACAGGGCACATGCCCAGTTTGCAGGCTTGGTTCCCAGTGTGGGGCATACAGGAGGCAGCCAATCAATGATTCTCTCTCTCTCTCTCTCTCTCTCTATCTATCTATCTATCTCTCCATTCCTCTCTGAAAAAAAAATCAACTAAATTATTGGGATTAAATACCCTAAATTAATAGGACATCTAAAAATGAACACAGAGAGAAACCAAGATGGCGGCATAGATAAACACCTGAAACTGCTGCCTTGCACAACCACTTCAAAAATACAACTAAAAGACAAAAAGGACATCATCCAGAACCACAGGAAGGCTGGCTGAGTGGAAATTCTACAACTAGAAGGAAAGAGAAAAGCACACTGAGACTCAGAGGAGGTGCGGAAGTAAAGTGCAGAGGTACGAAGGCGCACGCCGAAAGGGCTGGCAACTGAGGAGGCAGTTGTCTTTTTCAATTGGGAGGGAGTCTCAAGCTCCCAACTGCTCTCTTCCAAGAGAAGGCCCAAGGCCCCACAGCAGCTTGCATTGCTTCTCAGCTGGGCCTCATCTGGGCACCCCCAAACCCCCAAAAAAGGAAGGGGAATCTGCATATCTCTTCATAGCTCCTGCTGGGTAACCTCAGGAAGAGGCTTAATTAGCACCTCCTTAGATCCAAGAGCCAGTGTACCCAGTGGTCAGAGTGGGACCACCCAGATTACAACTCCTCAGATTCATAAGGAACACACTCAGGGGGCAGACTCAGTGAGCACCAAAGCCCCACTGAAGCAAGTCTTGCCCCAGAAGGGTGTCTTCAGCACAGAAGTTCTCCCACTGCAGACACAGCTGATTCTCACTGCCAATTGGCCTGGAGGTCAATTCCTCCCAGTGACACCTAAAACAATCAAGGCATAACTACAACAAGACTGTGCACAAAGCCCACAAGGGGGTGCACCAAGAGTGTCCACCTCAGGTAACTGGGGAGGCTGAGCCACTGGGCCCTGTAGGACACCTAGCACACAAAACCACTCTACCAACACAGGGAAGCAGACAAAATGCGAAGACAAAGAAACAGGTCACAAATGACAGAAATGGAGGACAGCAAACGACTGGATATAGAGTTCAAAACCACGGTTCTAAGATTTTTCAAGAATTTTATGGAAACCGCCGATAAATGTATTGAGATCCTTAAGAAATCTAGTGAGACCCTCGATGTTGTGATAAAGGACCAACTAGAAATTAAGCATACACGGACTGAAATAAAGAATATTATACAGACTCCCAACAGCAGACCAGAGGATCGCAAGAATCAAGTCAAAGATTTGAAATGCGAAGAAGCAAAAAACACCCAACCGGAAAAGCAAAATGAAAAAAGAATCCAAAAATACGAAGATAGTGTAAGGAGCCTCTGGGACAACTTCAAGCGTACCAACATCAGAATTATAGGGGTACCAGAAGAAGAGAGAGGGCAAGATATTGAAAACCTATTTGAAGAAATAATGACAGAAAACTTCCCCTACCTGGTGAAAGAAATAGACTTCCAAGTCCAGGAAGCGCAGAGAACCCCAAACAAAAGGAATCCAAAGAGGACCACACCAAGACACATCATAATTAAAATGCCAAGAGCAAAAGACAAAGAGAGAATCTTAAAAGCAGCAAGAGAAAAAAAGTCAGTTACCTATAAGGGAGTACCCATACGACTGTCAGCTGATTTCTCAACAGAAACTTTGCAGGCCAGAAGGGAGTGGCAAGAAATATTCAAAGTGATGAATAGCAAGAACCTACAACCAAGATTACTTTATCCAGCAAAGCTATCATTCAGAATTGAAGGTCAGATAAAGAGCTTCACAGATAAGGAAAAGCTAAAGGAGTTCATCACCACCAAACCAGTATTATCTGAAATGCTGAAAGGTATCCTTTAAGAAGAGGAAGAAGAAGAAAAAGGTAAAGATACAAATTATGAACAACAAATACACATCTATCAACAAGTGAATCTAAAAATCAAGTGAATAAATAATCTGATGAACAGAATAAACTGGTGATTATAATAGAATCAGGGGCATAGAAAGGGAGTGGACTAACTATTCTTGAGGGGGAAAGGGGAGAGGATGTGGGAAGAGACTGGACAAAAATCGTGCACCTATGGATGAGGACAGTGGGCTGGGGGTAAGGGCAGAGGGTGGGGTGGGAACCCGGTGGAGGGGAGCTATGAAGGGAAAAAAGAGGAACAACTGTAATAATCTGAACAATAAAGATTTAATTTAAAAAAATAAAATCAAATAAAATCAAAATCAAAAATAAATAAAAATGAACACAAATTATATCAAACTACAAATACTTGCTTCTTTTTCAGCTTCTTTAAATGCTATTTCTTTCTCCATAACTCGCTGCATAAACTTATGCTTCAATTCTTCTTCTTCCCTCTGGCATTGTTCATGGAACTCCTTTCTTTTGGCTTCATAGATCTCTTGAAAACTAAAAAGAAAATTTTATTAGTTTTATATTAAAATGCTAATATAAATAAACATGTAAAATATATATTCTACATTAAGTCCCATACAGAGAAATGGGAATTTCTATATCATGAGCTGTAAATATGAGATGGGTGCAATACTGAAAATAAGAGTACTGTATATAGAGAATATAGCCCTTGTGGGTAGGTTGGTTAGAGCATCATCTGGATATGCCACAGTTGTGGGTTCAATCCTGGCCAGGGTATATACAAGAAACAACCAATAAGCCCTGGCTGGCAGCTCAGTGTTTAGAGCATCAGCCTGCAGACCGAAGGGTCGTGGGTTCGATTCCAAGTCAAGGGCATGTACCTGGGTTGCAGGTTTGATCCCCAGCCCAGCTGGAAAGCATGTGGAAGGCAACCAACCGATGTCTCTCTCACATCGTTGTCTCTCTCTCTCTCTCTCTCCCTCCTTCCCTTTGAAAATCAATGGAAAAAAACCCCTTGGGTGAGGATTACAAAAAAAAAAAAAGACATAACCAATGAATGCATAAATAAGTGGAACAGCAAATCAATTGCTCTCTCTCTTTCTCTCAAATCTATTTTTAAAAAGAATATATATTCACTAGAATTTTGAAAACAGTTATATTAGGGATTTCTTCACCACTTTTTATGGTATCATATTTCTTCACATCTTCTCACAGTAAAATTTGCAAGAATCTCTAATTTATGCGATTCTCAAAATAATTAAAATAAAGCCAGGTATCTTTCAAACTATGATTCGTTTAAGATAGCCAGTTCAACTTTGGTTGTGCTCAAAGTACCAACACTAATACAACTGTCATGCTTTTGCAGCACAAATCCTATTTCCCTTCAATATAGCTAAGTACACCTGCTCTCCAACCATTTCCACTTGGCTTCCATGGCAGTGCAATGCTGCTTTTCCTCTGTCCTCCATCCAGTCCTCCATATTCTTTGCATCCTCTCAATATCCTTTGCCAACCTGTGCTAATATTTTCCAACCTTCTTTCTGAACTTCTCTTTTGGATATAGTACACTTTAGCGTATACACATAGTGGGTACACATAAGTTAGCATATAAATGAGCCCTTGCACTGTGCTACTCTTACAAATGTTCTCTAAGTCTGAAAATGATTAAAACACACACACACACATTCAGAATAATTGACGATATGAGAAGTACAGTTCTTCTCATTCCAAAATGATTGTATCTCATGATAGTAGGGGCTTTGTAAATCACCCATCAGCTTGTTCTAGCAAGATCTGTACTCACCTAAGCGGCTGGTTGTCTGGGCCCACATCAGTGAAGCCCATTTTCTGCAGTCTGCAGCGCCTGTAGCATTCATAGTGCTTAGTGTGGGTTACTTCTTTCAGGTGTTCCGTATTTGTACAAAGAAGCATATCCCGGAGCTTAACAAAGTCACAGTGATTTTCATTTTCCACTAGGCAGAGAAATAATAAAGCCACAACACTTTATCAATCTCTAGCACTCAATAAGTTTTATCAAATAAATGTATGCATGAAAGACATTCAAAATAACAGCTAAAAGATCATTCTGGTGAATAGCTAAAATTGTTTTCACCATGTAGCTATGTTTATATGGTACATACCAATTATAGACAGAGTTTATTAATAAACCAGAAAATTTGCTTTAAATTTATCAGCCAAAATATAAATATGAAACAATAAAATAATGTTATGTTATATTAAAATATGGCATGTTTTCAATAATAATTATGTTAATAGTTTACAAGCTACCCTCAAGGTATTTTACAGAGTGCTAACAAAGAATTAGTACAATTCCCGTAAAGTAAATAATTTCATTAGGTTAAATCCACTCACATAAAGATCTTTATAATTGTGCATGCTTAAGTTATCATATTCTATTTATACAAGATATTTATGAGACCAAATTAGTCAATGTTTAAAATAAATCAATAAATTCACATGGCTCTCTCTTGTGTTTGTCACATTCAGAAGACTGAGAACAGCATATTGTGTTTGATATTGTAACCAAATTTAATATTCACTAAAATATGTTCTTTTTAAACTATGTTTCATAAATTAAAAAATGTCTGCCTAACCAGTGTGACTTGGTGGTTGAGCGTCAACTTATGAACCAGGAGGTCATGGTTCAATTCCCTGTCAGGGCATATGCTCAGGTTGCGGGCTCCATCCCCAGTAAGAGATGTACAGGAGGCAGCCTATCAATGATTCTCTCTCAACACTGATCTTTCTATCTCTCTCTCTCCCTCCTTCCTTTCTGAAATCAACAAAAATATGTTTTAAAAAAGACATCTTGTTAAAAAAAATTTCTAATACATCAATTTAAAAACAACATTTGAAAACTAGGACAAGTAGAGATAATCCAACCCCCAATAATTAGTATTACAAGCATATAAACTAGACAACAAATGACTGGATATCACAATATTCCAACTCATCATGATGCTAGATAACAAATAGGAATGTCTAAATATAATCCAAAGGTAGCAAGTTATATTTTTTTATTTTTAAAATAGCTTATAACCCTTTTTTTTGCTAGTGACCACTTTACAATGTTTTATAGCCCTAGCCATTTGGCTCAGTGGATAGAGCATTGGCCTGCGGACTGAAAGCTCCCAGGTTCCATTCTGGTCAAGGGCACAGGGCACATGCCTGGGTTGCAGGCTCGATCCTCAGGAGAGGCGTGCAGGAGGCAGTCAATCAATGATTCTCTCTCATCACTGATGTTTCTATCTCTCTCTCTCTCTCCCTTTCCCTTCCTCTCTGAAATCAATTAAAATATTAATGAAAAATTTAAAAAATAAATTTGGTAGTAATTAATTTGTATGATATGTTTTAACACTAGTATGTAGGCTTCAATATGTTCAAAGTTCTTTGGCTCAAAGCACTTTCCAACATTCTGAATGCGATGGTTCATGCATAGGGAGACGATGTGCAGATGGAAAACGTGTCAATAAGGAGGTTCTGGGTAGCCTCTGTGGGTTTCTGCCTAAAGCACCTTCCAGAAAACTCCTATGAGAATAAGTCATAATCAAAGTAAGCATGAGCCTAAATGAAACAGAATCTGTGCTCCTTACTAGTAACCATTAGTTTACTGTTTAGCAACAGTTACTAATATTGGAACAAGTTAAAATATTTTGAGGTTATGACAATATAGGATATTTATAGTATATATCAATATCATTATACTATATATAGTATACAACATATATATACTATATATACAACATATTTACATACAACATATATATCTACACATACATATGACCAGTCCAGAGCAAGCCTGCTCACTGTCCTAATATTTACCTTGTAAAACTCCCCAAGGATAGAGACGGCCTCTGACCATCCTTTTTCCAACTTTCACCTCATCCATACACCCCACTACAGCAAAAGGTAAGTGTTCCTACGAAGGAAGGACAATTTTAATCATGTCCTTATACCAACATGACACATGCTGTTTCTCTTATTTCTGTTATGGAAACAACAGAGACAAGAATAACATCATAAGCTTATTCAAACAAGGGATCTACCGGGCCTCAGATTTTATGACTTGGCAGCAAATATGTGCACAGTGATTTCTGCAAGCAATAGTGTCAGGTCCTGAAAACTATCTACTGAGTAGAGCCTAAACCAAGGCATTATGCTGTGGGAAATACAAAGAGAAAAGATTTTTAGTAGACAAATCATTTTTCTCACATTATCTTTACCCTGAAACACAAAAATAAGGTCAAGAAAATAATGTACAAATCACTTTTAACTCCAGTATAAAGTTAAAAGACAAAAGTATTGAGAGTAACTATAATAATTAGTTTATGTATATACAATATAAAGTATACTGATAAATAATGCTCTATATTATATATACATATTCATACATGGACATGTATATGAATTCTAAATACAATTAAAGGGTCACTTTAATCACTTGATGGTGAGTCAAGGGAAGTCTGAAAACTGAGGCCATTCAAGGGAGATCTGGAAAGAAGATAAGCAAAGTTTTGAACAGGATGCAGCCACAGAATATGCAAGATTTTAATGATCTTCCAGAAGTTCTATATCTGGTATATACAATGTCTAAGGTAAAAATTGTTAAGCATTATGTTGAATATTGAATAATTAACAGTAGTCTACTCATTGGTTTTGATGAAAAATTACTCCCTATGCATTCTTCGGTGTACTATTAGGTAAGAGAGGCCAAAATCTTTAAGACAAGATCTAAAGAAGGAGAATATCTCTCTCTCCCTTTCCCTTCCTCTCTGAAATCAATTAAAATATTAATGAAAAATTTAAAAAATAAATTTGGTAGTAATTAATTTGTATGATATGTTTTAACACTAGTATGTAGGCTTCAATATGTTCAAAGTTCTTTGGCTCAAAGCACTTTCCAACATTCTGAATGCGATGGTTCATGCATAGGGAGACGATGTGCAGATGGAAAACGTGTCAATAAGGAGGTTCTGGGTAGCCTCTGTGGGTTTCTGCCTAAAGCACCTTCCAGAAAACTCCTATGAGAATAAGTCATAATCAAAGTAAGCATGAGCCTAAATGAAACAGAATCTGTGCTCCTTACTAGTAACCATTAGTTTACTGTTTAGCAACAGTTACTAATATTGGAACAAGTTAAAATATTTTGAGGTTATGACAATATAGGATATTTATAGTATATATCAATATCATTATACTATATAAAGTATACAACATATATATACTATATATACAACATATTTACATACAACATATATATCTACACATACATATGACCAGTCCAGAGCAAGCCTGCTCACTGTCCTAATATTTACCTTGTAAAACTCCCCAAGGATAGAGACGGCCTCTGACCATCCTTTTTCCAACTTTCACCTCATCCATACACCCCACTACAGCAAAAGGTAAGTGTTCCTACGAAGGAAGGACAATTTTAATCATGTCCTTATACCAACATGACACATGCTGTTTCTCTTATTTCTGTTATGGAAACAACAGAGACAAGAATAACATCATAAGCTTATTCAAACAAGGGATCTACCGGGCCTCAGATTTTATGACTTGGCAGCAAATATGTGCACAGTGATTTCTGCAAGCAATAGTGTCAGGTCCTGAAAACTATCTACTGAGTAGAGCCTAAACCAAGGCATTATGCTGTGGGAAATACAAAGAGAAAAGATTTTTAGTAGACAAATCATTTTTCTCACATTATCTTTACCCTGAAACACAAAAATAAGGTCAAGAAAATAATGTACAAATCACTTTTAACTCCAGTATAAAGTTAAAAGACAAAAGTATTGAGAGTAACTATAATAATTAGTTTATGTATATACAATATAAAGTATACTGATAAATAATGCTCTATATTATATATACATATTCATACATGGACATGTATATGAATTCTAAATACAATTAAAGGGTCACTTTAATCACTTGATGGTGAGTCAAGGGAAGTCTGAAAACTGAGGCCATTCAAGGGAGATCTGGAAAGAAGATAAGCAAAGTTTTGAACAGGATGCAGCCACAGAATATGCAAGATTTTAATGATCTTCCAGAAGTTCTATATCTGGTATATACAATGTCTAAGGTAAAAATTGTTAAGCATTATGTTGAATATTGAATAATTAACAGTAGTCTACTCATTGGTTTTGATGAAAAATTACTCCCTATGCATTCTTCGGTGTACTATTAGGTAAGAGAGGCCAAAATCTTTAAGACAAGATCTAAAGAAGGAGAATAACTTTAACATTTACATTGCTTTTTAATTTCAAAATCTATTTAGTTTTGATATCTTAAAATAAATGGGGTCTGGGAGGCCAGTCAAGATGGTGGAATAGGTAAACTCTGTGATCGCCTCCTCCCACGACCACTTCAAAATTACAAGCGAAATAAGCCAGTTGGAGAAAGATAAGCATCACATGATCTCACTCAGTTGTGGAATACAATGAACAATATAAACTGATGAACAAAAATAGATCCAGAGACGTAGAAGCATTGAACAGACCTTCAAACCTCAGAGGAAAGGCAGGGGAGGGTAGAAGTGGTGGGTAGGAGATCAACCAAAGGCCTTGTATCCATGCATATGAGCATGACCAATGGACACAGACAATAGGGAGGTGGGGACATATGCAGGGGGAGGGGGGGGAGACATATGTAATACTTTCAACAATAAAGAATTTTTTTTTAATTACAACTAAATTATACAACCATCAACCTGGAGAACCAGCTGAGGACTAGCTGAACAGAAGTCCCGTAACTAAGGATATAACGAAGAAGCCATGTGAGACTGGTGGGAGATGTCAAGACACAAAATGGCTGGCCCACGCCTATGTCTGGCAGTTGAAAATTGGGAGACATAGCTCAGCTGCAGAGGAGCAAGGGGCCCCAGCTGTACCACAGGTCCCCAGCCTGGAACACTAGTGCTGGGAAGAGGAGCCCCCACAACATCTGGCTGTGATCATCAGTGGGGACTGCATTTCTCTGGGTGAGACAAAAGGCTCTAGAAACCCAGGCATCCTCTTACAGGGCCCGTGCACAGACTCACTTGCTCTTGGCACGTTCCCGGGGTCTTGTGGAGGGACAGCAGCTTGGGAGGTGCCAGAGACATAAGGGAGAAACGAGTTGTGTGGCTTCAGGACTGGAGGGACAGCTGCCACTGTCCCTGTGTTGAGCCCTTCCCCCACAGGCCCAACTATGGCTCTGCATGAGGTTGGTAAACTCCACTCACTCCACCCTGTTGCCTCCCTAAGACCTCACCCCACCCAACTCATGCACTACCATAGGCCATAATTATATGTTTTGAGGGCATTATTAAATAAAATAAGGGTCACTTGATGAACAAGCACTATAATATCACAAGAGTTGATCTGATAACCAGGATGGCTACTAATAGGCAGGTAACATATAAAGTATAGATATTCTGGACAAAGGGATGATTCACATCCTGGGCAGGATAGAGCAGAATTGCATTAGATTTCATTACAATACTCAGAACAGCATGCAATAGACAACAAGCATATGAAAAGACCAAATATCATATAATTCCATTCATATTATATGTCCAGATCAGAGAAATCTACAGAGAAAGAACTTAATTAGTGGTCACCAACGATTGGTAGAGAGGAAGGCTCATAGGTAGTAGTGGAGAAGAGCCGGCTGTATGAGGTTTATTTTAGATCTGCGGTTCTCAACCTGTGGGTCGCGACCCCTTTGGGGGTCGAACGACCCTTTCACAGGGGTCGCCTAAGATCATCGGAAAACAAACATATATAATTACATTATGTTTTTGTGATTAATCAGTATACTTTAATTATGTTCAATTTGTAACAATGAAATTGGGGGTCACCACAACATGAGGAACTGTATTAAAGGGTCGCGGCATTAGGAAGGTTGAGAACCACTGTTTTAGATGATAAAAATGTTCTAAAATTGATTGCAATGATGGTTGCACGCATCTTTAAAAAGACTAAAAATTGTTGAATTGTATACTTTAATGGGTATGTAAATTATATCTCCATAAAGCTGTTAAAAAAAATAATTGATTCTCAGTGAACACTTTTCAAAATCAAGAAGTAAACATTTCCCTGGCCGGTGTGGCTTGGTTGGTTGGGTGTTGTCCTGTGCACCGAAAGGTTGCCAGTTCCTCATTCAATTCTCTGTCAGGGCACGTGCCCCAGTTGCCAACACGATCCCAAGTGGGGTCGTGCAGGAGGCAGCTGATCAATGATTCTCTCTCATCATTGATGTTTCTATCTTTCTATCCCTCTCCCTTCCTCTCTGAAGTCAATAAAAAGTTTTTTTAATCTTAAAAATAAATAAATAAATAAATAAATGAATAAGACATTTTTCACACTGGATTTTGGAAAAATACCTTATTTATAGTCTCTTGGTCAGATAGAAGTGACAGTATATTACTAATATTGTTACTTATAAATTATATTTGATTTCCACATGTAAAGTAGAATTAGCATTAAATAGAAGCTTACATTCATTGAGGAGTTCATTTGAGCAGTAGTTTTTTCATCTATTGGGAACTGGTATATCTGGATGCCATTACTAATCAATTCATTCATTATCTTACTCTTAAATGTCTGTAAATCATTTTTAGAAATTGTATCTGCTTTGGCAATCAGTGGTATAATGTTCACCTGGTAAGAAAGAAACAAAATCTCACTATTGAGAATTTGTTGTTAACCCTGGAATTTTTACAGTCAGAAACCTCAAATATCTGACAATAAATATCTAGATAATCACTGACTATCATGCTTTCCTCACAAAATTGCTTTCCAAAATATTCAGTTCTTTTGAAGATATATTTTTACGAGAGTTCAGGCTTAGAAGTCTTAATTTTTGTTGTTTTCTCAAACTTTCTAACACATCAGGAGGTAGTAAACTGTAAGTAGTAAGATGATATAATGTATTTAATTCATTAACAATTTGATTTCTTATATAACTGTGAAAAAGCAGAAGAAACCTTTTCTCAAAATTATAAACAATTTGTCCTCTACCTGTCATTCATTTGTATCACCTTCTTCATAAATTCATCTTGCTTTTGAATAGATCCTTGCTCTACCTGCGTGTCTTTGCAGATAGATTTGCTTGTTGTTTCCAAAGACCACCCAAAAATAATAGACTTTTTTTTAATTGCCATACTCTGAAGGCTAAATGTGTGTGTTTATATAGCACCTTGCTAACAAATTTGTTTGTAGTTTGTAAAAAGGAATTATTTCCATATAGCATATTTGAGGTTGAAATGTATTCATATTTTCTTCCTAGTTCTAAAATATAATTATTCCTGTCTCCTTGTGTTTACAGCTTAATAATTGAACTTTGTAGAAAATAACAATATGCAAAATTCTAAAATGTCTTATTACTGTTATAATAAGATACTTTGTTAAAGCATAACTGTACAATGTCAAGTTCTGTGATATAAGTAGAAATGTGTAAACGCCTGTTTTAAACATACTGTTTTTGTTTTAGATTCTTCAAAGTATTTTTTTTTAAATCCTTGTTCCAATCTAGGGCTTCCATGTTGTCACATAAATGTTCAAAATTTTGTCCAATTTTATAATTTTAAACAATAGCTTCCACAGTAAAAGCAGACAGCTGCTAAGATAGATTCAAGTCTAACATAAATGCCTTGGGTTGTATTGGTGACAAAGCTGGGAAAAGAAACCCTCCGTGATAGCAAATCATTAACACATAAAAATGAAAACTTTCGCCTGGCTGGCGTGGCTCAATGATTGAGCATTAACCTATGAACCAGGAGTTCATGGTTTGATTCCCAGTCAGGGCACATACCCACCAGGTTGCAGGCTCAATCCCCAGTGGGGTGGGGGGTGGGAGGTGGGGAGTGGGGTGGGGAGGAAGTAGCAGATCAATGTCTCTCATCATTGATGTTTCTAATCTCTCTCTCTCCATTCCTCTCTGAAATTAATAAAAATATATTTAAAAACAAAACATCAGTGGTACCAGAGAAATGTTAATGAGATCATTTTGTAATACTATAGAGCAATTTCAATTTCAAAAATATGGGCAAATGACCACAATCTGAATTATCATTCAATCACAAGAAAAACTAAATTTTTATTTTTTTAAACCTGCATCTCATTATCCTAATGCATTTTCTAATGAAATTTCTCTAGAAAGCAAGGTAAGATGGAAATTTATCAAATGCTGTTATGGGCTGAATATGTCTCTTCTCCCCCCATGCATATGCAGAAGCCCTAACCCTCAGAATGGTCTGCATTTGGAAACATAATCTTTAAATGGGCCCTAATCCTATCTTACTGGTGTCCTAATAAGTAGGGGAAACTTGGACACACAAAGAAACACCAGATGTGTGCATAACAGAAAGGCCATGTGAGAACACAGTGAGAGGGCAGCCATCTGCCACCCAAGGGGAAAGGTTTCAGGAGAAACAAAAATTGGCAACACCTTGATCTTGCACTTCTAGCCTTGAGAATTGTGAGAAAATGAATTTCTGTTGTTTAAAACCCGTAAGTCTGTGGTGTTTTATAATGGTGTTGTTGGGACACTAATACAAATGCTTTAAAAATTAACAGACACATTTGTAATACCCTAACCAATAAAGAAATTAAAGATAAAAAAATAAAATAAAAATAAATTATAAAAAAATAATAATAATAAATGGAAAAAATATGACAAAAATATGACACATCACCAAATAAGTTCTTAGATGAGAATGGCTGAAAGATATATATTATCTAAAAATAACGATCAAATCTTGATCGGTTGATGGATTTACCAAACACACCTTACTGTCGATGTTCTTCAAGGTTAGTAGATCAAGGGCCTTCAGAGAATGTCCCGTGGGTGCAATGAAGAAAAGGCACACGTGGATACGAGTGTCATGGTAGTCAGCAAAGGAACGTTTAATTTTCAGTTCTTCTTGAAAATAGGCCTCAAATTGAGCATCTATGTAGGAAACTATTGGTTGGTAGCTGAAAAATGAGTATTTAAACATTTAGCATAACATAGTAATAACATCTGAAGTCTACATTTTTACCATTTAGTTAATAGTTAATATGTGTACTCAATAGCTTTTCATATAAATAAAAATGTGCATACCATGTTCTTACAAAGGTAACAATCACAAACCAATAAAGGCCCATCGTTTACATCGTGTACATGTTTCTAGAAATGGCAAAATGATCTTTCAATTCAATGTCATCCCAATCAGAAGCCAATTTCTATGTGTATATAGAAGTACAAAGGACCAAGAGTGGTCAAAACATAATAAAGAAAACCAAGGAGATATAATCTTCATATGCCAGGTCTCATTATGACGCTGAAATAATACAGTATGGCAGCAGCACAAGAATAGATAGACTAAAGCACAAGAGAATTTTTTAATGTGATAGAACATTTCTATGTCACAGCTGAGATGATGCAACTCTATGCAACTTAAAAACCTACACTTGAAATCTGTATGGTTTTATTAACCAAGGTCACCCCAATAAATTCAATTTTAAAGGACCCCACAGAAATATACACCATAAAAGTAAGTTTCACTGTATGTAAAATTTCAGAAGAGTGACATCCTAATCATGGCAATGAATAATTCCGGGCTTTTTAACAACTAAAAACCTGATCTATCCACTAACAAAGGTACCTCTGTGGGAACTGTGGGACCCGCACCATATGCCAGGGAACCAGAAGGAGTTTTGCCCAACGGCACCTCCCTACAAGCTCTGAAACCAGCAGAAGCCAGCAAACCTGCCCAGACCCCACTTTCAAGCAGTCAGGGGAAAACTGGAGAGTGTTTACTTGCGCATACACCCACAGGTGAAAGGTATTTGTAGAAATTCAGCAATAAAGATGGGAGATTCCATTGGAGCACAACAAAAAGAATACATCTGGCCCTAGCCAGTTTGGCTCAGTGGATAGAGTGTTGGCCTGTGGACTGAAAGGTCTTGGGTTCGATTCCGGTCAAGGGCACATGCCTGGGTTGTGGGCTTGTCCCAGTAGGGTGCGTGCAGGAGGCAGCTAATCAGTGATTCTCTCTCATCATTGATGTTTCTATCTCTCTTTCCCTCTCCTTTCCTCTCCGAAATAATAAAAGAAAAAATTAAAAAAAGAGAGAGAGAATACATTTGGATGCGTTGGAGAAGGTAAGAGGAACTTTACCGATGTCAGCCTTCCCTCAAGGCAGCACAACCTGGGGCTGAAATAGCTGATAGCAATCTCTCCCAGGGCAAAGGGAGTAAGTGCCCAACAACCTTAGAGAAATACCCTTTTCCTCCCAGCAGTACCCAGGATACTGAGGCAGGAACTCCATAAAGGAGGGAGGGAGCAGTTTGGGAAAGAAGCAGATAAAAACATCAAGGGGCATGAAGTGCATTAAAGGGTCATGGTCCGCGCTGACTAGGCTCAAGACTTCAGCAGGAATCTCACTCATGAAATTGAAGAGAGCCTCAGCTTCTGATTCCCGCTCTGGGCCTGTGGGCACTTCCAAAGGTCAAGTGCTAACCTCACACATCTCCCCATTCTGCAGCTGACTCTGTGTGCACACCCGGGCCATTGGGAGGGTGAAATCTGGCAAGTGAAATGTGCTCAGAGATAGCAGACCAGGCTCTGTGAGCAGGGGAGAAACCACTTTCTGAAAAATTTGATCTATAGCAGTGGTTCTCAACCTTCTGGCCCTTTAAATACAGTTCCTCATGCTGTGACCCAACCATACAATTATTTTCGTTGCTACTTCATAACTATAATGTTGCTACTGTTATGAATCGTCATGTAAATATCGGATATGCAGGATGGTCTTAGGCGACCCCTGTGAAAGGGTCGTTCGACCGCCAAAGGGGTCGCGACCCACAGGTTGAGAACCGCTGATCTATAGACATGCTTTCTGGGAAAAAAGAGAAGTTTCCAGCAGTCAGTCATGTGAGCTGTGAGAACTAGAGAAGAAATAAACTCTTAAGACTTTCTCCACAATCGGGAGAAAGACATGTGCAGCTGGGATATCCTACAAGGCCACAGAAAGCCCCAGATACAACAGGACCAATGAACAGTCTGTTGCACCTGACCGCAACTAGCGAAGATTTGAGGATGTGTCTGCTCCTTCAAATGTGAAAGCAGCAACGCGAAACTCCAAGGAGCATGAAGCATCAAGGAAATGTATCACCACGAGTAAGAAAAGCTGTTCATTAAAGTAAGAGCACACTCACCTGGCTTCTTTGTTCATTTGATCACCATATCCCACTGTAGTCACAACAGTTAATTTCAACTGAACATTGCTTTCCTGGAGTTGATATGTCTGAATTTTAAGTTCAACATTTGGGCAAAAATGTGAGCATTTTTTTTCTCTCGAATTAGTGTTAAACAATGTGTCAATCAGTGTTGATTTTCCGAGTCCAGTCTCCCCTGTAACAAACATGGATACAGTGCATAGGGGTATAGATGGCTGAGAAGTAGCACTCTGAAGTGGTTTAAAGGGTCCCACAAACTCCAAAGACAACAATGTCCTTGAAAATATACATGCTACTCCGGACACCTTTGGTCATTAACATAATATAGAAAGAAAATATACACAAAGTTGTATCAGATTTTGAAGAGTACTGAAGCATTTAAAGAAAAAGTGTGTAGGTAATATGGCTGAGAAGATGGAAACTAAAATAAACATGAAGGTATGTTCTTGAATTAACAGCACCAGTTTTGCACTGCTGGAAGATAATTTGAAATGAGCATTTGGAAAAATTAAGTAATAATTCAGAGGAGAAGTCTGGCACTTACCCACACAGAGAATATTAAAAGAGAATCCTTGTTGAATAGATTTAGTGACCAACTGATGAGGCAAACATTCAAAACCAAAATGACCAAGCATAGTTAAGCAACGGATATTCTCTTCTTTTTGCTGAAAGAAAACACAAGTTAAAAGATTTTAATCAGAATAGAAAATATCATTTGAAGATCATTATAATATTTCTTTTTTAAAATATTTTTATTGTTTTTTAGAGAGAAAGGAAGGGAGAAGGGAGAGAGAGAGCTATCGATATGAAAGTGGAACATGGATCATCGATTGGCTGGGTGCCTCCTGAACGCCCCCTGCTGGGGTTCGAGCTGAAACCTGGATATGTGCCCTGACAGGGAACATTTCTCTGTTTTTCCCTCTCTCTTCCACTCTCTCTAAAAATCAATGGGAAAATATCCTCGGGTGAGGAGAAAGAGAGAGAAAGAGAGAGAGAGAGAGAGAGAGAGAGAGAGAGAAAGGAAGGAAAGAAGGAAGGAAATGAAATAAAGATATTTTATGCAAATGGAAATGAAAGAAAATCTGGAATAGCAATACTTATATCAGACAAAATAAACATTAAAACAAAGGCTGCAACAATAGACAAACAAGGTAATTTCATAATGATGAAGAGATCAATCTAACAAGAGGATATAACTCATAAACATGTATGCACCCAACATAGGAGCACCTAAATATATACAGCAAATATTGATGGACATAATAGAGTATAATATAACATAATATGATGGATATAATAGCTTTAAGACAAACATTTGTATTAAATTAGTGATATTACTATAATTAGTCTCAGAATTAACTTACTCTTCTCATGTCAAAATAAGGGTTAAGATCTAAACTGTCTCTCAATAGTTGATGGTTGAATGAACAGTGATTAGTAGGGAAGGGACCTGAGCCCTAGATACCAGGAATCAACCAAAGATTAATTGATAGGAATTCCATGGGGCTTTCATATTTAAAGAAAGTGTATTTAGCAATACCAAACTGAAAATGTAATCCAATAAAAAATTTTTAAAAAACTTAATTCCTTACTATTTGTGCTCTTAGAAGATAGGGCTTTATCTATATGGTAAATTCTTAGTTCTTCTCTACTTATAAACAGAACATTTTGATCCATATAATCTGAAGATTATTCCATTTTTAAAAATATATTTTATTGATTTTTTACAGAGAGAAAGGGAGAAGGAGAGGGACAGAGAGTAACATCGATGAGAGAGAAACATTGATTCAGCTGCTTCCTGCACACTCCCAACTGGGGATGTGCCGGAAACTAAGGTACATGTCCTTGACCGGAATCAAACCTGGGACCCTTCAGTCCTCAGGCCAACACTCTATCTACTGAGCCAAACCAGTCAGGGCATGAAGATTATTTTAATGTAACAATAATAGATTTGGACACTCCCCTGTCCTCTCTGGCCTAGACTCCCTTTTAAAAGAGTTTTCTCATTTTTAACTCTGTAGCTCAGGGAGGTATCAGATCAAAGTGCTTTGTGTGTCAAAATATAGAACAAAATATAGCCCATTGTCTTATCAAGAAAGGACCTGCAACCTTGGCCTCATTAGCACCAAGTTCTTACCACAGAACAAACAGCAAGCAGGGATTTCCATAGCATCATCACTATTACTTAACAAATGTCTTCTGATAGGCTGAAAGTTCTTTCTTACAGTATTTATTTTTACAAAATGTCCATCTTATGTAGAAAACAAATATTTCAGATTCTACTAATTTGGAATTTGTGGTTATTCAAATCTTGTCCTTGAATGCACCTTTGCACCATGCACAAGTAAAGGAAATTAAGAAGTAAACAAGGTAGTATATAAAAATATAATGTTTAACCGACTGTTAAAAGGATTACTTCATGTATCTTCACATGAAACTGAAGTGCTAAACAAAGATTATTTTAATCCCTGATAACAAATACATCTAGCAAATGAGATAATGTACATAAATTCATAGTTTGTAAACTATAAAAATCTCTACAAGTTCTGACAAGCCCTGACGTTAACTGTGCTCACTGAACTCTGTTTTTCAGGGGCACTGGGAAAAGTTAGCTGGCTAAGAAAATTCACTAGTCATTACGAGCCTTCCTGACCGTCACTTTTGCCTCCGTTTGCTCTGTACATTGAGAACATTTAACTAGGTAAGTTCACATTTTTTCACACTCCAATATTCCATAAGTCAGGAGTCTTACTTATGAAAAGCCTACAATTTGAATGAGGATGAAAACCATTCAAAAAATGTGAAAATATTTGTTAATGTCATACCAAGTACCAAAATAATACAAAAGTAAATATAGGAACTTCGAAGAAGGATAGAAGACTGTGGTATGAAGTAGTTAAAGATAATTCAAAAAGACTACAGATAGCAGATTGCCTCCTAAAGACAGGATAATACTGATGGAGGAGGTAAGTATTATGAACAGGAGATGAGTATGGCAATGAACTCAGCGGCAGAATTATGGGCTACTGTATATGCCCTTGCAGTAAGGAACTTGCACACTTAAAGGGAAAGATTTAAATTGGGAAACTGGCTCCAGCTGGTTTGGCTCAGTGGATAGAGCGTCGGCCCTCGAACTGAAGGGTCCTGGGTTCGAGTCCAGTTATGGGCATCTATTGCAGGCATGATCAGTCCCCTCAGACCTCAATGGAGCATACATTAAGCATAGTCATTGAATGGCTTTAACATGTCAACCCAGCTTTTTGAAAAATGTTTTAATTTTTCTTTTTTTTTGTACTAAAAATAAGTTTATTGATATCTTGTCACCATTGAGGAGAAAGGAGGGGGTTGAGTTCTGGAGGTCAGACTGCACTGGGAGGCAGAGGACCCAACCTGTACCTCCCCTTGAGAACTTGCCCCCCCTCTCCCCAGAATACAGACTGCTGTCCCCTCATTGTCATCCACGTTCTGATTTGTCTCGCAGCCCCCTCTCCCTCCAAAGTCTGGACTGGGAAGCAGGGAGGCCCTCCCGACAGATCAATTCTCTTCAAGTCAAGACCAGGAGTGATCAGGGAAGGGGGCATGTGCAGACCCATGAGGTTCCCTCTGCAGCCCACCAAGGGCAATAAGAAATAACATAAAATTGATGGCTTAGAAGTCAGGGTTAAGGAAAGCAGCCAGGCAGACAGCGCTGTACTGGACAAAGGGCTGGGGGCCCAGCAACAAGGGCCCCCGCGAATTAATTTTTCTTTTAATAATCTTGCCAGTTTTCTACAATCGAGGAGAGTACACTCTCTATCCATCCCATCCTTTTTAAGATACACGGTAACCAAGAAAATTCTCCATATTAATCTTACTAATTTTATGGCAAAACTTTAGATGCTAAGTTCCTTAAAATAGCATATTATAGTGGTAAACAAGTGAAGCATAAATTATAATTTAGTTTATGTAATCTTTTATTTGGTTTCCCTCTTTTTAGAAAAAATATATTAAGGTTTAAAAAAAGCTCTATTTGCCTGTGCATGTATGTATATGTGCATATGTGTTTATTCCTGTGTTTCAATATTAAATTACCTACAGTATTAAAATATCTTGATTAAGGCACAGTTGGTACTATATTTGAAACATAAATAAAACAAATCAGAGAATTATTTTTAAAAAAAGATAGTTTGGTGGTTAAAACTAAAATATAGAAACACCTGTGTGTTTGAAAAAAAAAAAGAGAAAACACCATAAGACACAAATGAACACTACTTAACATAGTTCAATACTCATGTATATATTTGACATTTTGGTCAAAAAGAATTCTAAAACCAAGTTTTCACCCATTAGGACATACTATTCTCTCTTTCAGTGTAGATTTTTATGTAAGTTACTACATATTTCCCCTAGAACAGAAGCTCATCTTAAAATGGAACTTGGTTCAATCTCCCACTCAATAAAGCAATAAATAAGTAGCCACCCAACCACTTCCAAAAATAAACTTCATTTGAAAGTTATTTATTATCAGTACATAAAGTTCCACAGACATTTGCATCCAAACAGCACTATTCTTGTTACCTAACGGGAGGCTCTGGAGTTTAATTTGTCATTCTTTGGTGTTAAACGGGAATAATCTCTTGCACCACTAATAAGGTCTGCAGACTCAAGAAACATGCAACAATTATTTAAACATCATCGATGCTTCACTCCAATCAGTATAAAAGTTAATTCATGTCCAAGCATAAGCCTTTCTCATCTAGGTTCATCTCGGTTCACTGAGTCAGTGTTTTGAAACTATACAATCTTGCTGAAGTACAGGATGAAGAGTTCTATCTAAAAGATGTACTCAACTGTGTCTTCATCATCGGGTATTTGCGTGGATGTGCACACTGGTTTTTCTTCCATGTCAGACTGAAAGCGCTGAAAACAAAGAACAAGACCCTTTCAAAAACTTTTTGTAAAAGGCAGTATTCCCACAACATAATTTAGATCAACAAGGGAATCGAATATAGACATTATCCCAGGTTTGGGCTTTCAGTCCACACTATTGATCTGCTTTTAACTGTGGCTGTTTGGCTATACAGGCTTTTATATAACATATAATATTCAATGTCTAATGTACAATAATACATTCAGCCACAAACATGAGAAAAGCATCCAACAAAAGGTAAACTCCCTTTTAAAATCAACAGGACAAAGAACATTCTTCTTTAAAGGGCTCTCTGAGCATGAAAGGGAAATAGGGAATATTGCTTTAAAAAGGTGCCAAAAGAACCAGGTAGACACTTATAAGTACTTACCTTTCCCGAGTAGATTACCAGGGGAGACTGGAGTGCTCGAGTGTACTTACTGAAGGAGAATTGAGAAATCAGAGCTTATAAAATCTGAACAAGCTTATTGGACGCTAAACAAGTTCATGATAGTGTCACTTATGAAGTATTTACTATGTACCTGGTGCCTATATGTTTTACCTCTTTTCATCCTCATTACAGTTAGGAAATGCATAGATTTTCAATGCCATGTGCCAGGTGACAAAATTCAGATTCAGAAAAACTAAATTGCTTACCTGCCCAAGAGTTCAGCAATGCCGCAGACACAGGTCCGAACTGACTCCAAAGCTGGTGTATTTATGGACCAAATCTCCCTGATTTGCAACGTTGGAACCAGGGAGGACAGATACAAGAGAGCACGTTGTACTGATTTGTCAGCAGAACTCCCTTTGAAGGACAGGCTACCCTACTTTTGAGGACGGCACAAAGATACTGAGAAAATGAGGCATATTTGAAAAGAACATGTTATAGATGGGTAGAACAAAGAGAAAAGCAAACAGAATTAAAGAATGGCTCTGGGTATCATGGTTTCTTCACTTGCTATAACCTGAGGATTAGTCCACTTTAGTACATAGATTTATCTTGCTTTCCCCTAATGGTAAATTGTGTTCCCTCATACAGATAGTATTCTGCTGTATGGTATGGTTTATTCCAGTCTGGTATAAATAAAGGTTCTATATTATTTAGCAGAATGTTAATGATATTGCAGTGATTTTCAGTCTTTAGTTGCAAACAACAATAAGCATTTAAACCACTGAAAAAAGGTTGCTTCTTGACTTCTTATACTTATCCTTTCTCAGAATTGGAAGCAAGTTACTATCATGCAGATAAAAGTTCTAGAGATCTGCCCTGACTGGTTTGGCTCAGTGGATAGAGCATTGGCCTGCGGACTGAAGGGTCCCAGGTTCAATTCCAGTCAAGGGCATGTACCTTGGTTGCGGGATCAATGTTTCTCTCTCATCAGTGTTCCTAACTCTGTCCCTCTCCCTTCCTCCCTGTAAAAAAATCAATGAAACATATTTTTAAAAAAAGTTCTAGAGATCTAATGTACAACATGGTGACTACAGTTAATAATAATGTATTGTATTCTTGAAATTTTCTAAAGGAGTAGATATTAAGTGTTCTTACCCTCCCCTCCCCCACATACACACACAATCTACTTATATAAAAACCATGGGTGGTGTTCATCACGACCATCAGAATTGCAACCAACCGGAAGGAAGTCAGTCCTGCAGGGATTGTCTTGGCAAAGGCTGCGCCCTTCCCCAAGCTGTTTCCCGAAGCTGTTTCCTGTAAGGGTGGGCTTGAGGCAGATCTTTCTAAAGTGTGCCGCCCGCCAGCAGGGCCAGGGCTGAACCTGAGTGGGGGCGGCTAAAAGGCTTAGAAAAGACAGACAGGAGAATGAAAGCCGGGTCTCAGTGGGACGCTGCTTCTCTGAGAGACAGCAACCACGCCCACAGCCATGCCTTTATTTTATACCAGATGCTAGGAGGCAACTTAACGGCGTGACCAAGATATTTACAACATTCTCCTGGGTTTCAATCCTACTCAACTACATGCACCTGAACTCTATCAAGCCTACATCATTCAGGCACGT